ACAGTGTTTAATCGTGTAGAACAACGGGTATCCAATCCGTCAGTGTGGAGTGTGGGTGCATATGGGTAGTTATGGTTCAGGGTATTCGCTCCAAAATTTTTTGGCATTTCTTGGTGACAATGGCTGCGCGTTTATTGCATTTCCAGTACTGTAATCATTCGTAATAATATTCCTTCTGTGGTGGTCTTATTGCCCCTTGATCCAGCTCCGCTTGCAGCACTAGACGCACCGATGTTCTGACGTCTTACTCCTATCTTTTCACGGCATCCTCTCGTGTTCACATGCCTTTTTCATGTGTTTTTCTGCGGTGCCGCAGATTCCCAGCCGTTGTACTCATCGTATGATGGTGTATTTCAGCATTATATTGCATTGCGTGATAGCTCCTTCCCTTCGGTGATGATTTTGAGCTGCGCTTTGCCTTCTTTCCGCGAAGCCTTTCGCCATGCCAAGATGTCCTCAGTGAGGACTCCTCACAGCTCCTGTTGTGAGGTCCGCTGTCCCGACGCTTCCTGCCAGCAATCCTCACTTTTTCGTTACTCTTTTGTCAAAATTTTTGACACCTTTCGTCATGTTTTGCCTCCACCGCAGTGGCTGCTCCGGTGTGCTGTGTTTCAGTACATTCCAGTTTTGCGAGCTCCTTTCCGTACCGCCCTGGTGACGTCTCTCTCCACGGCGTTGCCCCCGCCGTCTGGCCTTCTGAATTCAGCACTTTAGCCTGTTGCGAACGTGCATTGCGTGGTACTGGTGACGCCCTTCGCCATGGCATTGCTCTCCACAGCCATGGCTGCCTCCACGTGCTGGTATTCAGTAACTTTTCGTGTCCAGAGGCTTCCCTTACCGATGCTCCTATGACGCCTTTCATGGCCACACCACCCTTGTTGCCACGGCTGCGAGTGGGTGTGCTGTTCCATTAGTTAGCTGTGCTTGGAGCGTGCCTCGGGTTGCCTTGGTGACGCCTTTCACCATGGCGCCGCGTTGGTCGCTCTGGCTCTCGAGTGGCTGCGTGTTTTCGGTGCTTTATTGTGTCTTAAGTCCCGTCCACTCCAGCTCCTCTGACGTCTTTGTGACGTCCTGGCTTCGCAGTCGTCCCGTCCTTCGTGTGGTCGTGTTTTTTGTATTTTGCAGTGTCCTGAGTTTTCCAGTGTCCGTGGATTTATGTGACATGACAGCTCTATAGTCATTTTTGCCATTTTGCAGTTGTGTATTTTAGTAATTTACGCGGTTCGTTCTGTCTTCAAAGTACCAACATCGGCCGGAGATGTCGACGTCTTTTTGCTTTTGATGCTTTTCGCCAAGCGCTGTCAGTCGTCGTCGTCATTTCTCCACGGCGGCATTTCCACATACGCCACCAGAATTGCACAACCCGAACACTGTGTTCACCAAATCTGTAGGCCTCCTTTTGCACCTTCCCCACAAAAATGCACCTCCCAGAATGTCCCATGTGGAATTGAATCTTCTTCATATCAAAGTTGCAACTTTGATATACAATTGTATATCCCATCCGGTGCTTTGGAACAGAAGAACAAATCGGATTTTTCCATTTATCTGTCCACTTCTATTAGGTCATAAGCAAAAAAGTTGACTGCATAGAGTTACTGGAGCTTTTCATTCTCCTCCATTTGTTTAGAGGTACGTGCTCGCAAGCGCATTCTCAAATCAAATGTGTGGGTACCACAGGTCCTGTAAGGTGAGAAGACCGAGCAGGTCAACTCGCACATAGTGACCTCAGTTCGCACTAATTGGACAACAGACAAGACGTTTCGCAACAGCAGCAGCATTAGTCCAACTTGGCTTCAACCCGTTCAATTGCGGCAAAAGACTACAGCAGCAGTTTAATTGATTTAGTTACCTTAAGGTTGACTAACTGAGGGCTTCAGAACAATAAATTTATGGATATTATCCAGATCATCGAAATGGGAAACTCCAGGTCATCGCCCATGTTTGGATACCGCTGCTTGTGTCCATTTCATGGCCATATCCTGGATATGAAACCCCCCATGCTAGGTAAATGTTCATATTTTGGACATGTACGTTGTAGGTATCGAGCTCACTGTTTGATGGGCATTTTCTCGTCCTCCCCTTGTGCTGCGCTTCAATCCTGTGTGCGCAGGTTGTCTGGAAACACCGCGAAGGACTTCCAATCTTCCGAAGAGTTTCGCAACACACCATTGTGTGACAACAAAATCATTGGCAATCTTGCTTTCAAAATGCTCTAATTACATCATTTTTATCTTTCAATGGACAATTTCTGTGCACTGCGTACGCGTCTCCACTTGAGGTCGCTGACCCCCATCGATTTTTTGGAGAATCATTTTGTCGCATGCGCTGTACCAGCGTGCAAGGAAACAGTTTTCATGCGAGGACCGGAAACTGTCTTTTGAACTATGCATACTCAGTGTAAAATTCAATGAATTTTAAATGACATTTAAGCGGCATTTGAATTGTAAATAACATTTACGCTCCGCTCCATTGATGGACAGTTCTATTCTTCTTTCTTACGTAGGCCTACCTTGGTAGGTGACATAAAATATTATTCATTCCCAACTCGGGGTGTCAGGCAGATCCTGCACAGATATAATTTATCAAAACCTAAAAAATCGGTGACTGGGCACCTATCGTGAGATGCCTTGGGCTGCCCAAGCCTTCGTGCTCATGACCTGAAAACGGGTTATTCAATAGTTCACCAAACAGGCCAGGAATACTGTCGTTAAAATATTGCAGCTAATTGCATGTGTTGAGAGTCACAGCATCTCCAGGAAGGGAAAGGGATGTCCCTCTAGCAAGGGGAGATAGGGAATCCCAGCGGTTTGCAATGGAGAGTAGCGCGTGACCTGCAGATGACTTGTGCATGTGGAGCGCGGTCTGGTGGGGGCACCGAACGCCGCCAAGAACGAAAGGACCAAGGTCCACACATCGAGCGTCCACCACTGCCAAAGCAGGCGAGGTTGCAGACGACTTGAGCTGAAACCTGCTTACATCTTGGGATTCGAAGCAGCAGGGGTAGCATAGGCACGGGTATTTTAGGTAGCCAGGATAACAATGTAAGCATCCATTGATTTGACACATTCGCCTTGTCTCATTGTTTCCCCAGCGACATCATAAACACAACCTCTGTCTTGCCGCTGGTCTCGAGGCCCAGAGTTTGCCCAGGCAGATTAACAGACAAGCCAACGGAGCGATCGTTAACTCTCACAAGTTGGGGCAGCGCCCCGCAGAATGACCAATACTAGGTGAGAGGTTATCTCTTTGAGCTCATGCAACTGCGTTCTGTTTTTTTGACAATGTTCTATTGTTTAAATCAAATCCTTGCACAAATTTGCCTTGACAACTGTAATAAGTTTGTGCACCCTCGTAGGCAATATGGGACGCCTCGCCGTCAAATAGTATGAAATGAGAGATGTCATGGAACCCGTCCACCTTGCCTTGTACACGACCTCCTGTGCTAATAAATGCGTGACCCCGATTAGGGCCCTTCCTTGGCAATTTAACGAAATTTCATTTCAGCAGCATCCACTGCAGTTGTGTATGTGCACAGCCCTGAACATCGCCGCGATGTTGGCAGCCAACAGCCAGTACCAGAACAACACGACATTTAACGTGTGCAAGGGTGGTGACTTGCTGTACTTAATGAATTTGACCAGGTTCTTTTTGCGACCTGTGGCCCAAAGTAATGACGTCAGTATGAGGTGGCCCTTGCCTGCCTGCAAGACTCAATTCAACGCGCTTTGAACACGTCTTTTTTGAAGACCGAGTCTTGAAGGCTTGATCCTCATGGATACAGCTACGCATTAGCATACGCATGATTGCATGTGCAAAAGTACCACAGCGCGTGATGTGACGCATTACGGGGCAGAGCGGCAGGTTGGAGAATGTGCAGGAAATGCGTTCTCAATGTTAATCACTATTCATCTGACGAGTCAGTCCTTCTTCGGAGATTTTCGAGCAGGGCAGGAGCGCATGCCGAATTTGCACAGGGCAGCGGCTGGCAGGACACCGATTCATTCTGAGCATGGTCTCCACAGTCGGGCTTTGGTCGCGGCCACTGCCTCACAACGGAACAACACTGCAGCAAGGAAAGAAGAAACTGGGCCACGATCTCTAAAAGAACAGCCCCGGTATCTGTCCCAGAAGAGAACGCTGTTGCAGAGAAGAACAATTCACTGTTGCAAGATAGGATGAGTTTTGGCATCTGTGCACAACTTCAATATTGCTGTCGCAAGAAGACAGAGCGGCGTCGAAAGCATGGTGTAAAATCTACATGGCGAATTATGCGTCTACTGTGCATCCAAACAAGATTGGGTTTGCAAACCAACAGCGCCTAAAAGCTGCACAAGAGCAACAGTCCCCACGGTGCCCACGAGTCCTGTGGGGAACACCAACTTGGTCGGCCGCGCATTGCCAGGGGACTCGAGGCCTTGAAGGAGAAGGCAGTCACAATGCACGGACGTCATTAGTGGCGGTTCGATGCCCTCTACGATTTGAGCTGACTATCTTGCAGCAACTAGAGCACCCTGCACCTCCCAATACAAAGCACATGGCTCCGGCGTTCTCCCTTACTCGTGATTGCATCTTGACCGCCCTAAACTACCAAACCTAGCTGGCCCCCAAGCAGCAGGTGCGGTGGCCCGAAATGCCTCGTGTCATGCCCGAAGATGCGGTCCACTGCTGTTCCTGCAGGCTACCCTGGGGTGCTGTCACTCCATCCTTGGCACAGCCGGCCTCGACCTGCATGATCGACACCTGGAGACACACCCTAAATAAACTTCGTCTCCGCGGGTACAAGCCCTGGAGACCTGCAGTCTGGCCACTCCACCAGCCCATGTCCAGGAACGGCGCACACACACCGATGTGCATCGTTCAGGTGACATTTCTCAATCCACACACTCTCAAGCAGTTCTCAGCCCGCATACATTTCGCATGCAGCCAAGCGAACAACAGGGCCGCCCCTCGGTTGGCCGGCACCCGGAGCGGTGCCAAGCCCGAGTCTGGAGTCGTCACCTTCAGGAAGTCGCCGGGGGGTTTGTCCTGGGGGTGACGTCGTCGCCTTCATCGCCCAAGGAGAACACGGCTCCGTCGTCCACAGCAGGCTGGGGGCCATTCACCCTGTGGAAAACAAAGTTTAATAAGTTATCAATTGTCTGTTGAAGCAAGATGACCATGTCGATGCCCGAGATCTGCTGTCGCTTTGCTACACTGCGGTCCTGTCGATAATTTGGGACAATGTTTCGCTCACAACCAAAAAGACTACCATACACTTTCAGCTTCAGCCGAAAGACCGCAGCGTCAACTTGATGCCGTTAAGTGTGCTGACGCGGGTCAGTGATCATACAAGCAGTGTGTGAATTGGGATGACGGGGAAAGTAACACCGTCACCATTGATGACCTCCAGCACTGGGAGCAGCAATTTTACAGCACGCAAAATAGCTCAGCAAGTGCCCTTGCTCAATGGGGCGCCCATACTGCGGCATGTTTCCTCTCTGCAGAAAAAACAATCTTGTGTGCAACCAGCAACGAACGGCAAGTCGCATGACGATAGTTAGCATCCACACACAAGTCCTGCCAACCGCAGTCTTCTTTGCTCTAGCTTGGCAGCAAAGTTCACGCTGCATTTAAAGCTACGCACGATTGAGCGCATGGTAGTGGACAAGAATCTTCCACTACCATGCGCTCAATCCACCCTACTGCAGTCTCAGCAGAGTTGGCATGAGGCCAATCAACAAAAAACCAATTCCAGCACAGAAGAGTGCACGCACACTGCCTGTTGTCAGAAGTCATTGCTTGCAGCAAACCTGTAGTCATCACAAGTCAGAGCCCAGGATTTTGGGGGTTGCAGTGCACACTTGGCTGAACGTTGTTACCAGAGACAATTGTTGACCATACAATACTATAACTATACTAACCGTCACCAACATACATTCCAACGTGTTATCCTACAGCTCATATCTCAGCCCTGAAGCCCTCAGAACAAGCCCAGGCGAGTAGATCTGGGCGTTGCAAGCACAGGCTGGCTCCTGTGTCAGTAAGGGGGCATATGGAACGATGGAACCACAACAATACGAACCAAAGGGGGAGGGGGGGGGGTTACATGTTTTCAGCTCTATCTATCAGCTGCACACTATTCCAGTCGAGCCGCAGTACATGGGCGTTAGGCCCAGTCCTGCAGGTGCAGGTCACTTGCCCAGTTGTGGAACAAAGGAAAGAAACCAACGCCCTACCCATCTCCCTTCCCCTCCTTCCCTCCTGGCAGGGCGTCCTTGGCAGGTGCACTGCTGTCGCCCTTTGCGGGGCTCTTGCTCTCAGCAGCAGCCCCATCGAGCCCTTCGTGATCCGGCCGAGGCATGGTTGGGGCATCGCCAGAGCTGGCAGTTCGCCTGAGGTTGTGGCCACCACCGAGCAGCCTGCTGACTTGGCCCCTAGCCGACTCAAAACCCACGCCAATCCTTTTCCTGACGGTGCAGACACAGGGTCGAAATCGGTGGCTTGCCGCACATAGGACCAGAGGCATCCATTCAACCAATTTTGCAAGCAGAGTTGTACCACTAGACACTGAAATGTGATGCAATATTTTGGAATAAGAAAAGGGAAGCTGCTCTGAACAGGTGCTTGTTACATTCCGCAAGGAGGAATGCGCTGTCAACTTTAAGCAACACATGTTTGGCTCAATGGTACATAAAACTGTGTGGTGCTGTTACCCAGGCTAGCCAATTTCATCAGCATATGTCGTTGCGTGGGTGGGGCAGCGCCAGGCCTTACTTTTGATTACCATTTCGTGGCTTCCTTGAATATCAATTGGGGCAAACCATGCCCTTGGCGCCTTTCAACCTGCACTGTGCCGGCTGACTCGAACATTATGTGGCCCATGACACAACCCAGTCGTGACAACACACTATGGAAGGTGAACACCGCAATGAATTACTAACTAGCTGTTGTCATTCGGGCATGAACCGGCTCCACAATTATGTCAAGACTATGAAAGGGAGTGTGAATGTACGGTGCGGCAATCGCAAACCATAAAGCCGCTCAAACAACTGCAATCGACACAAAACAGACGGTCAGCTTGGTAGGGCTGCCTGGCAGGGCTGGCCCTGCTTCCTAATTCAAAGAATGTCACATGTAGGGATCAAAATCAGACAAGCCACTTTGGGTGTTACGATTGGATCCAAATCATGTATTTACCCTCAAGTGCTTTGTTTTGCCAAACAGTAGACATTCTGATCAAGGACAACTCAACAAGAGGCCATATTGGGCAAGAAAGCTATTAGTGGTAACTTTGGCCCAGGCCACAGTGTATGCGCAGACCATTCCTGCATGGGCTCATTTCGCTGTGTCAGTGATTAACTGTAACGATCTGATCATTGGAATACTTGATGCGGTTTTGCTATATCTCCACAATGGGGTCAATGGCTCAAAATTGCAGGTCTGCATTGACACACTTCTGCAGGTGTGGGTAAAGAATGCGGTTTGAGCACAAGAATGTCTGCCATCGCTTGGCCTTGCAGCATCCTTGGGCCAGAAGGATGCCAGATATTTTGCACATCATAGCCAAGGGTGGTCAGTGCAGAATTTCACCAGAATGATGCATGTCCCAAATAGAGCACATGCTCAGCACATCAATTCCCTCCAAAGATATCACATTATAAGGCGTCAGGGCTCATTAATTAGCATTGCCAAGGCCTAGCAGAGATTGCACTCCCAGCAAATCAGGTAACGGCAGGTGATCATCTGCTGGTCATATACATGAGGTACAAGGCTGCAGGGATTTCATATTGTGCTGCATTTGCGAGCGAATTTGCCCCAAGGCATGCAGGATCCACTGTCACAGAAGGGCAACTCACCATCCAGTTTGAAGCCCAGTGCCAATGGTGTTGGCTGTCGCAGCCACCTTGGGGTTCTCCAAGGCCTTTTCTTTTGTTTGTGTCACCGAGCTTCCGATGCGGGTGAACACGGCAGCACCTGTCTCCTTCGCGGTCTGGAGGGGAACAGCCAGAGTCGAAATCAAACTCATTGGTGTGTGCCTTTCTGAGCACCTCAGGAGCAATCGCTGATCGCCTACTGCACTGCAGACAGCAGCTCAAACTGCCATTAAGAGGGGCGTGTAAGACACAGTCTGAAGCACAGACAATCCTTCATGGATCGTGAGGTTCTGGGGGAGCCAAAAGCTGAGGGCTGTGCACAGCTAATTACATATTGCTACAGACACATTGCTATGCATCGTGCAATATGATTGTATGCTTTACACATGTCTATCTTCAATTGAATTGTTCTGCTTGACACTTTGGCGAGTCAATGATATGGGGGCACAACTTGATTTTGCGCTCCTCCACAGCAAACAAAAGGAATATCAGGTTAAGCACAATCCATCGTCCTCAATGCTGTGCACTTTCTTGGTGTGCAAGTGGACTTCTGAATAGCTTTCTGCGGTATGGAATGAGTCAAAATACTGCTTGGGAGACGCCAGAACATGTTGTGCTTTCTCTACACAGCCAATTGCAACCAGATGCCAAATGCTAATCTGCAGCAGTAAACAGCTAACATGGTGGCAACGTCCCAGGACTTCAAGAATCTTTAGGTACTTCAAACAGCATAGAGCTGCAATCATGGCAATGAAAAAACACGCACTGCTTGGGGAACTTATGAGTGAAGGTGTGCAAATGCCCATACACTGAATAAAAAGAGTTTCCCACAGCACCCACAAATAAACACAACAAAGTGGCAAAGCGGTTATCCACCTGAAATGCTGCAGTGGTGTTTTCTGACACCTTCCACTTCGTGTCCAGTTCCTCAAGCTGCCAACAGCCATGGCCACAAATCTTGTCAGCAACGATCATTACAGGGTCAAAGAGGATATTTGGGCATTCAGATTTCTGGGAAATTTGGAGCACATGTGGTGGGGCAGGTGATGCGCACTGGGCTTCTGGGGCTGCAAATTTTGGAGGGCAGGATGTGCCTCCAGACAGACTGATGCGTTGATGCACTGCTTTGTAAATGATATGACCCATGACCTTATGTCGCTGCAAGTGATATGCAAGGAACAGTAAGTCAGTTTCAGTGATGTGGACAAATGTCAGTGTTGCCTGCCAAAGGCAACGAAATCCAAATGCTACACCCATCACTGTTGTCATGGCACCTCGGGTATGTAGACTGGAACTGTTGTGAGTGCAGTGGAAGTGGAGCCCTGTTGATGTGGCTGACACACGGAGCCACATTGTGCTCCATATCGACAGGGGCACCTTGCTCAAGCTGCAATTTGAATTTCATCTCTTGAAATCCAAGGGGACACAGCAGCAGCCACGCGAGCTGGACATATGCCTGGATCAGCAGCCCCATGACTCTATAACTCTAAATTGTGGACTCGAAGTGTGCAGGTAAAAGGATCCAGGCACACACACCATTTTCTGGCCAATGTATTGCTTTTGTAGTTACTGCTGAATGTGAGGGATTAATACAGTGTGGGTTTGGGGTTTAGGTGAACATGCAAATGAAGAGACTATGGCATCAGCAAAATGGCCACAGCCTCAACGCATGCCAGTCTTGTGCTCCATGTGAAACAGCAGCAGGCTTCTTGATAAGTTGGCATCCACAACATCAAAAGTGCTGCTGGTCTGCAGCATAGGCACTTGAGCCCAGCACAATATGGGCCTTTAGATGTTAAGGCCCAGCTCTGAAGATGAGTCTCTGAAAGGGGCTGGGGCTGAGACTGGAATCAACAAATTCAACTATCAACAAATACATCAAAAAATCAAATAATGAAACATGAATAAATATCCAACTATCAATAGGAAGGGCATGCCCCACGAGTTGTGAGATTAGACTCTCTTCAGCGTTGTGAGAGAATCTGCAGAAGCATCTTTGTGCAATAGGAACAGAAACCAACAGAAAGCATGTAACACTGGATTTGCTTTGACAATGTTCAAGAGGATAACAGGCACAGTGCTGCATCCACCAACAGCAGACGGCAACATTGGCACTGTAACAGCACACCAAAAGGCGCCCTGCCTTTCCAGAAGGAAGTGATACGTGTGGATATCATGGATCTTTGTTTTTATAAACAGTGAAATAAGCCACTGGCATGGACAGACTCAGTTGCAAAGCATTAGTGAAAAAATTTCATCTGCATTAGCATCTTTGGCTGTCTGTTCATTGCCACTGGGCCAGGACAGAATCAAATCAAAAACACTCTGTCATGGTCATGACGTCCTGCATCGCCTTGGCACAATTCATTGACTTTTCACTGCATGTTACAAAGCCAAAAAGGTTGATGATATGTGTAGTGAAGTATAGCTACAATTACTTGATAAATGAAACCGATGAGGACAGCTTGTCACAACATTTCCCTTGCCAAAAGGCAAGAAAGACTTGCTTGCCAACAGCCAAGTGACTGTGAGCTGGAACCCGCTTCACACAACAGACACCAATGAAATGTACCTGGGAAACTGAGTTTGGATTCTGAAGTTGCATGGTACATAAGCGGTCACCACAAACACACTGACATACACGTGACAGCATCTGCTCCCTGTGTGCATAACTCTGCTGCACACCATACCAGGTAGGACCAGGAAGAACAATTCCATTTTGCCTCAGATTTGGGGCAGCCATTCATTGCCTGCTGTAATTTCTAGCTGTTTATGACATAAACTGACATGTATTGGCATCATCCTGTCCAGCAATACAAGGTACCTTGTGGCCAGCAGCTCGGAAAGTGGCTTTCGTCTTTTCAGCCACCGTTCCTGCAGTCTTCCTGCTCTGAGCAGCGATCTGAGCAAGTGCAGGAAAAATGTCAGGAGCTGATTCCCTTCCCTCTACAGGCAGATTCGCTGATGCAAACAGCCACAAGGAATTTGGCTCAGATTGCGTGCAATTGGAATGAAGCCTGAGGTCATCCCTTTTTCTATTGCAAATTCCCTTAAAACCCTGTAATGCCATTCAGGAAAGGGCAAGGCAGTGGTTCATTTTCTACAGCAGGCACAAGGCTGGCAGGCTCTCGCCGAACACTGATTGGAAAAATTTCTTGCACACAAGATCCTGCTGAACATTGTGCAGGAAACAAAGTAACATGACGAGGCAAGGTCGTGTGAAGAATAGCCATGACACACCTTTTCTGCTGTCCTGATTCGCTGCAGTTCAGCAGCCAGCCCATAAGTGAAGTCTTCCGCGACCTGGACCACCACTTGAACTATGACCACAAACGTTGCACAAACTGCTGCCTCGATTCAAGCAGCACATATGCAGCCAATGGCTCCGCAGAATCCCAGATGGAGACCAAATTAGCCAACTGTCTGCCTGTGCCCTCTTTTTGCAGATTGCACAGAGGCTTGGCTGCATTTTCGGGTGGCTGGTTCAAGGAAAGAAACTCGCAGCTTTGGATTGCTGTGTGGCTGTGCCAGGCCATAGAGGGGAACAGTGGAAGAGAGTGGGGTTGTGGTTGACGAACCACAGATGAAGTCCGATGGCAAAATCGGATGTGGGGATGTGCACCGCACTCCCCCCCGATTTCGGCAACATCCTTGAATCCTTCCAGGCACCTGGTGTTCATTCCTCTCCAGTTCTTTGCACACCACCCCAAAAAGGCCCTGGCCACAACTAGGCACAATTCATGAGGAACAGCCATTCGGGACGCCTGCCACCGGTATGAAAGACCCAGGGAACCCAAGGAATCCTGTGTGTCCGCAAGTCAATCTGGCTGCCACCCTTTTGATGGTTGGGGCTCATTCAAGCAGACAGTGGAGCCATTTCAACCTACGATGGGCTTCTGCGGCTGGCATTGGCACACCCTGCTGTTGATGCTGCTTGCGTTCAGTGCCCATCCTGTTGCCCTAGGAGACTCTACGTCATATTTTCACCGTGTGGAGAACAGCCTCACGCATACTTGCGCAGCAGGGCCTGCCCACAGTATGGCCTGTCTGGTTGTTCGACACATTTTTACAGGCACGCCCACCGACCCAAGCCCTTACGTCCAATATCTCGTGCTTCACATCTGGGCCCAGGTTCTCCTCCATCCACGCCTGCAGCGCGTCCTTGTCGGTGACATCCCAGAGGCTCACGCACCGCAGGCCACCCGTCGGCACCACCTGATCGGTGCAAGAAACTGTTGAGATGGGAAGCGGAAAGGGACCGAGAAGACTTCAAAGATGCGCATCTAGCTGGAGCGCTGCGTTCGCTGGGCTTGGTGGAGTCCCGCTCTAGGACTGCACTGATCAGCGCCCACCCCGGAGGGAAAGCTTTCGAACGGATGCCTTGATCCAACAAGCAACGGCCCTCGCGCCCAGCGCCGCCGGCAACAGTCAAACGCTCTGCGAATGTGACGTGGCTGGGCCAGATCAACTTTTCGGGGTGGATGCCACAGCCCTCGCCAGGAATCGGGTGTGTGGGGGCGCGAACGAGGACGCCAGCGGGGGCTCAAAGCCGCGCTAGATCCCACCAAGCCAGAAACGTTCCAGGAAGATTTGGCGAAAGCCAGTGGCCCGTACCGCACAGCAATTCTTCGGTTACCAATAAGGGCTTCTCCAAACTCGTTGCGCTTATGGCGACCAGCAAAGCGACACGTGGTCAACAAAACCTGACTCTTCCCCCGCGCCGCTGCCCACATCCGCCCCGCCCGTAGTGCCAATCCTACCTCGCCCCCAACCGCCGCAGGTCAAATCTCCCGCACCGCAGCACCCGAGCCTGGCGGAAGTCCCCAATTCCCAACACGGCCAAACCGCCAAGCGCCCTCGCCACCCCTCTCAGGCAGGCACCAAATGCACACCACGGGCGTCCAGCGGCAGGGCATCCCGCGTCCACCTCCCCTCACAAATCCTCGAACCAAATTTGTCCACAAGCGACGAAACAGCCCCCCTTGCGCCTTGCGGGCGATTCTCCCCCCCTTCCCCCCCTCTCCACCCCCCACAACGTTCCCAACACATTCCCCCTCGGCCCCTCCCATCACCCTCCCGCCTCCAATCTCGCTCGCCCTCCCCCCAGATCGACACCCCCTCCCCCAGGCGCTGGCGCCGATCTCCAAGACAAAAATTCGCCCCCACCTGTCTTATCTTGAGATCTTCGGGCAGGGCCCTCCGGTCCACGGCCTCTTTGAGGGCGATCATGCAGATCGGCACCGTCGCGGAGACGGCCTCCAGGCTGTGCACCACCAGCACCAGCACCATGGCGCCGCCGTGCTACAGGCACTCGTCGGCCGGAGACTTATGGGAGGTGGGTTGGGGTGACCGGGGCGGGGCGTTGAAGCGGTGGGGTCACCCTGCCGGGCCGCAGCTGCGCCTGAGAGGTACTTAAGGCTCACAGCTGGACTCTGGGCAGGTGTCCGATGGCTGCCCCAGTCTTTTTGCCGTGGTTGGTGCACGTTGAACCAAACTACGGGGGCAACGGTGCAAACTACAGGGTAGTAGGGAGGCGTGGGGTGTGGTGTGTTCTTGCAGAGCTGGATGGAATGTTGGTGTCCAGCCCAGCGATCAGTTGAGAAAGGCTGCAGCCGAAGCAGGCTAGGTGGGTGGGCGTTAGCTATCGAAGCCATCAGCAGGAATCCCCATTCATTGCTGGTGAATTTCATGTATTGCGGTTGTGAGGAACGCGTGACCAAGCCCGTGGTGCCTCGAAGGCGATGTGGGGGGCAAAACGGCCAATTCAAGCACGTCGTTCGCCGCACAATCGTGGATCCACACGCTTGTCATTTGTACCAAGCGAAACATTGTTGATGGCCATTGCTGCGGATCACTGTGCGTGAGCTGAATTTAGGGAAAATATTGCACTGTTGACCGATTAGCATGTGAGAAGTCACTGCAGCGGCAACTGACACGCGACTGACACCTACCAGAATGTCTCCAGCCTCGGGAGGTGGGCGGTTCACGGTGGAACGTCGATCCCTTTCGCGTCTCCTCTCCAGCCGTTTGTGTGAGATTCGCGCTTCACTGACGTCACATGGGGGCGACTGTGTTGTGGGAATGTCTGCACTAGTGCGCAACATTGTTCCCACAGAGCTGCGGTTACTGGTGTAGTTTTTGTTACGTAGGAAGAGAGGTCGTATCTCCAATAGCGTTGAGGGCGTCATTCCAATCGCCAAGGACGATCGGTGAGTCGAATCGTGCCAATCAGCGAGTCAATGCGTCATTATCATGCAAGAATTCACCAGTTCAGCTGATTGTAGTGTGGACTATAGATGTACAGTCTCCATTCGCGTTCGTCAAAAAATCGATGCTGCTCAGCACCCGCCACCTCCCCCCCATTTTCACGCCCGCCAATTCGCTGCATTCCTCCACAATTCGAAAGCTTCAGCTGGGCACGCCCATACGCTCCTGGCGCTCTGGCAAGACCCGCTGGCCGACACCTCATTCCCCGCCCCCCACACATGAAAGCAAAAACATGCCGCCCGATGAATATCGGCCCATGATCGATGCACATATATGACACTATATAGTGTCGATGCCCTATCGCCTCGTCCCCACCCTGCTGGAAAGCACGAGCGCCGCGAACGTGGCGCCGTGCAGGACGACCAGGAAAGTCCCCAGAATGGCCACTATGGAACCGAAATCCCGATTCAGGTCAAAGTACTCCAAAATGCCGTCCCCGGACACGCTCGGGCACTCCGCATCGGGGTTGGCTCCAAAGAAGGCAGCCAACATGGCGCGCGAGATGCGCGCCCCGGACACCACCCCGTCGCCCCGCTCCAGTGCCTCAAGGACCTGGTCGGTTCCGACGCCCTCCGGGCAGGGGAAGGTTCGGCCCGCCAGCTCCGACCTCGTGATGCCATCGAAGACGTAGCCCATGGCGGAGATGGCCCGGAAGGAGGACAGCCACTTGAACTTGAGGTCGGGCTCGCGGTTGAAGTAGTTGGCGAACATCATGTTGATGGCGGTGAAGCCAATGCCCAGCATGAAAGCCATGTCCTGGGAGGTCGCCAAAGCGGCTGCCACATGGAGTGCCTGCGGGATTGGGCGCCCGGAAATCAAGGCGGCATTGGGTTTCCTCGCGGCGTTCGGCGTCGGGTGATTTCCTTGCATGATTTTCTCCCTCCGAATGGACGGTTGCGAAATCAACGGTGCATTTTACACACTTTGACTGCTGCAAAGGTCGCAGCAAGTTGCGGGACAGAGATGCCACGCAGGAGCTGCGGCGTCCGTCATCAAAGAGGGTGGGGCACGGGCATCAGTCACCAAGCTGCACTAGATTTCCTTCAGAATTCGCACCACCGCTGACTCTGTCAGGGGATTTCTCAATTGCCGAAATTCCAATTTTCGCACAGTCGCTGATAGACATATTCCACTCATCGAAGCGCTTCAGCATGTCGCATACCGCCGACACAGTGATCCTCGCTCTGATCCCATTTGTCGTATGCCCCCCACCGGATGGGGACGTCAGGCAAAAAAACAGGTGGGCACAGACCGTGGTGGCTCTGTTCTGATGCACCAGAATACTGCACCCACAATCACTCTTCACCAACTTTTATGTCAGGGTTCATTCTATTTCTGTTTCTTTTGGAGCGCCAAGCGCAGCGCTTCAGTTTGCTTCCAGGTACGACAGATATCAGGTGGATGCAATCAGACGCGCTGCGAGATGCAATGGGGAAAAAAGGGCCAAACAGTACGTGTTCAAACGTGTACAAAATTTGTGGGTTTTTGTGTTGTTTCCATGGTTTTAGCTTGCAAGTCACTGATAAAATGCATACATATGTGTTGGTAGAACGTGTTATTTGGTCCTCTTTTTGCCAGCGATGGTCTCACCTGAACGAACACCAGCGACACCATGACCATCAGCGTCAGGTACCGGAACTGCGACTCCTCCTCCCCCTTGAGGCCCGCCATCCCGTACACGATCATCGAAAACACCGCCGCGTTCAGCGCGTTGAAGGGCAGGCTCACCAGCGCCTTGGCGGCGTGGTAGGCGCTGGGGCAGTACAGGCGTGCGCTCATGTCCGACAGGAAGTAGGAGCGGTCGGACACCATGAGGGATATGGAGATGTAGGGGAAGAGCATGAGGAAGGTTGTGGCCATGAAGCCGATGTTGAGGCGGGGGTAGAGGGAGGAGGCGTCCTGGGGCAGGCCGTAGAAGACCAGGCCGAAGAGGGCACCCACCCAGGTGAACGTCAGCATGCGTAAGGACACGTCTGCGGGGTTGCGGGTCATTGACAGGAACGTGCGCCAGGAGAGGAGGGACGCCTGGCGGTGCCATGAGGCCCTGCAGCAATAAGGCAGACGAGGATTGTTGTGTTATGCTTCCCAAAGCATGAATAAAAGCGCTGCACTTCCCTTGCGGTGACAGCCGCGAGCCAATTTCACACCAGTTCCCGCATTTGTTTCAATTCTATTCGATGTAGTTCAATTGGATGCGTCCAATGCCAAAACCGTGCATTAATGTCGACCAGCAACTGCTGGCCCTTGGCTTTCAATCGTGAACGGCGGAAACAGATCCGATGAACAGTTTGTCTTAGCGCCGCAGATTGAAATGGTCTGGTATTTTCTGAATGGCCCCCAGCAGCTACGAAAACGCCAAACGCCGCGCGAAGCCCTATCGCAAAAATCTCTGTCTTCTGAGTCATCGCAATGAGGCAAGGCGGTGCTTGGTAGCTCAATTCCCACGACATTACAGGCTTGAGTCCGGCTGAAAACATTCAGTGTTTCTCAGGTCTATGCTAAATACAATGTGCTATTACGTCAAGCATTTTATTGAGAAATGGAGTTGCAGCTGCCGATATCTCGCACCTGCGTTCTCCTCCAGTTGTTGATGACTTTTCGGTCCCCTGCAGCGCTTGCTGTCTAGCTATTCCTCCTTCTTCTGCTGTGGCAGCACCCTTTAGAGAATTCTGGAGGGCATGTGGCGCCTCATCCATGTCCATTACCGTCCTGCCAATATCCAAACCGTTCTGCCCGCCTGCGCCAGAAGCAGGGGACGCACCATCCATTAGAGACACATCTTTAGCTGAAAGTGTAGTTTTCAGTCTTGGAAGACAGGCACTTCAATCATGAGTCCTGTGTTGGGGCGCGTGCATCATACTGAAGAGGGCAATTTGTGACGCCAACTCAATCGGTCTTTGCTGGGCCTCACCAATTTGATGGCTGCAAAACCGAGACGCCCGTTTGTTTTGCCGCAGATTCCCATTTGACAGAGACTCTTTTTCTCATTCAAGTGGATCCTCTGCCCCAAATTAAATTGCCCAGAGTTCCGTTCCATTCTTGGCACGCTGGCGTTGTTGCGGACCAGGGAATCGCTTAAGATCCATGAGCTATTTTCTTCATAAAGATCAAAGCGAAAATTAAGGGTTACTCAATTTTCGTACCGATAACTGTGACTACGATAGAATTAATGCTGAGAATTGAAATGATTTGCGTGCGCATTGGTGCAAGAAAACTGTGCCTTTAAATCTCTGCGAACAACTGCCTGCACATGACGATGCTGCCACACCGACGTCTTCCCAACAAATTTGGTAAACCAGAGGCATTGTGCGGCACTCATGGCTTTAATTCCAGAATCTTTGACCTGTATTCCATACACTCTCGAACATGTATGTGTAACAAGTATCTGTATCGGATGTGTAATTGCAGATCTGCTACGCATGTCATTTGTCACCTTCGTCGTCACCAAAATCGAGGCCAACCACGTGGCCACTCTCCAAAATGTGGCTAGACCTGAAGATGTTGGAAGCTGCTTGAACCTCCGCCAGAACCGTCATTGATTTTCGTGAGTCGATCTGCGTCAAAAACCTTTTTTGATTGAAGCCGACATGCACATCTCCATTGAGCAAACAGGTTTGCAAGACGCCACGTTTGGGAAATGCGCATTGAAACGGTGTCATAACAAGCTTCAAAACCCAACCTGTGTCCATATCGGTGATTTTGTACATGGAGGTCGGCAATGCAAGCTCCCATTAAACTCGCCAATAGCCCCAAGAACAACTTGTCCAGTATTTTGCATTGTGAAGAGTGACTGGCCTGTGATCAAGTCTCAAGGCAGCGGCGCTGTGTTTCACTTGCGTGCAGTTTTGGTGTTTGATATTCAATGTTTCTGAATGCAGAAGAAATTCGCAAAGTACTTATGTGCAAAATTTCTGACATTTTGGCACCACTTGGAAGCCGAAGGTGCTGCGATACTGTCATCCATACAATTCAAGTTACCCAGACTGGCATGCCATGAATTCACCTCTGGTTTTGAAAACTCGATGGATATGAGGTCCATCAGCCATTCCGGAGGGGAATCGTCTCTCTCTGCATCGTATTTGTAGCCAAGAGTTCCTGAGAACCAAGGGACGGCGTCTTTTGGCGCTCCCCAGTACATAAGTATTCCCCGTGACAGTAACACAACCTGAGCAGAAGCAAATTTGGTGTCAGTTCGACAGAGCGAATGGATTTTTATGCCCCCTTGAAGGTTTGGCTTCTGTTAAAACCCCTACGATTTGGTGTCAAGGAAAAACAAGTTCTACACAAAGCTGATGTATTGTGCGTCAATTGCCCCCGAAAATGCAAAAATTGCCTTCCTTGTTTGCCAATTCCTGTGCAATATGAGAAAACTTGAGGTGAAGGAAATACCAAAAGTTAGGGCGCCGCACTGTGTGCATAATATATTACGTGTACGTTTTGTCCATGCATGTCGTTTACATGTACGATATGATGAGTACAAAACTGAGTGCAGGAAAAAGCATCCTGCGGCGTCCATTGCGCGACCCATTGCACTATTTAAGATGATGAAGATATCAATGCTGCTCCTGCAGTTTCCATATGGAAACCAATTTCAACCTGACTGCCTGGCAGCATGCATGCTGCCAGGCAGTCAGGTCACGCACGGCAGCATTGCTTTTCCATTACTACAAGGATTCTTTTGGGATTCTATGGACCTTCCTCCGATGCAGGCGTACGTGCCGCTGATGCACAACGCATCACTTTTCACTTTCCATTCGTCACGTCATCATGTTGCCACGAGCACACATGCGCGCACGTGCACTAGCAAAAAAAGGACCAAATAGCACCTTTTGCGAACACATACATATGCGTTTCATCAGTGTTCTGAATGCCTAAAACACAGAAATAGCACAAGCCCCTAAACGTTTGTACACGTTGGCACACGTGTTATTTGGCCATTTTTTCCTCCATACGGTGATGCACGCCACCCCAAACCGACCTCTGTTATTCAAGAGAGTCTCATATTCATTTGCTCTCTTTCCTGCAGAACGCAGACCCGTCTGCATCTCAGCCAGCTCACCTTATCTAGGAGATTCCATATCCCAATCCTTGGTTGGTGTATGGACGCCACAACTGTGTGCTTTCCATCGTGCGCCAAGTTGCTGAGGTGGGCCATCACGTTCATGGCTCCGAAGCTATCTAGGCCAGACGTGGGCTCATCCAGGAACAGCACAGATGGCGCCGAAACGATACCGATGGCGATGTTCAATCGGCGCTTCTGACCGCCGGACAGGCCGCGGACGGCCACTCCGCCGGGAAGCATACCTCCGACCTGAACGCAGAACATGATATTAGTCCAGATTGCGGAAATATAAATATCATGATGGCATTGAGAGTTCTCCGCTCATGTGATAACATCAGATTTGCCACCCTTCTTTTAATTGCTTTCGAAGGGTCTGATGGGCCCAGCATCAGGAATGGCAAGACTTGCATCGCTCTGTTATACAGATTTCGATGCGTGCAATTTAACAAAATGCCCAGCTTGTCATTCCTCAGAACCACCTTTATATAATTAATGATTGTATCGTATGTCACACTCGTCCAGTCAATGCACTTCTAATAGACAGGACTCTCGGCTAGAAAGTGTCTGAGGTGCAGGAGGATCCCATGTCAGGCTGAACGAGAATGTGCGCATATGACATGATTGATCACACAGAGACATGTCACCACATGGATTCCGTGGTTCAAAGTTTATACCAGTGTACTTTCGGGTGATAGTCCTCTTCCGTGCCAAGGAACAGGGCTATTACCCAACAATACAGTAGATAAATCTTCGTTGACACAGAGAATCTGCTGCCTATCTAGACCATCTTCAGAATCCTCACTCTGGTCACTGTAGCACTTCTTTCATGATGCCAAGCAGTGTATGGCAAAGTCGCAACCTTGGAATCATAAACTTCTTCGCTCCAATAAATGTTGACACAGATCGGCCCTAGGCCTTGCTCCCACTGGGAGCATACAACGTACAGAAAAGAAAATCGTGCTCCTTTCCGCACTGGAATGTTGAGGGGTCTAAGTATTTTCACCCATCGCTGCAGCGGGTTGACTCACCATCATATCTCTCTGCTCCGTCAGACCGAGAATCTCTATCGCCGAGTTGATATGCTTGTCTCTCTCAGCATCGTCAAAAGTCTCCGGTAGGATTAATCCAGCATAGAATTGAAGTGTTTCCAAGGTAGTCATCGTCGGAATAAAATTGTCCTCCTGTAAAGATGCAAATGTGCTCATACTTTACCACCGCGAATCACCGACAGGATTGTCATTGGCAGCGTGGTATTTATTTGGCGAAGTGAAGTTAGATTGGCGTGCCATTGTATGTTCAAGATTAATGCCGCTGCGTCAATGCCTCGATGGGGGTGCAACGACAGAGTGTTGAGGCCGGTGCCACTATGGCGTAATTCGACACCGTCCAGCCAGGGCGCCTTTCAAAACATGATCACTCTGCTGCACTCCTATATATTTTAAATTGCTGAAAATCGCGTACCTGTGGCGCAAAACCGGGCAAGAACAGTACCGTGCCCATTACTGCATTTGCATACAAATAACTATGAAAGTCCTCGTTGTAGTGATTTGCATCCCACAGAAAACAGTTTGCAGTTGTTCAGGCATCCAGTGATTGTGAACGTGTCGTTCGTGCTTTCAGTACCAGCGGCAAGCATGCTGACACACAACACAATTACTTGCGTAATCAATGCAAGCACAGACAATGGCGCTGCGACGCGCCCGCTCTGAGACGCGCTCTCGCCGAAGTATCGTTGCCCGATTCCACTAACGGGACTTCACGCATCAATTCATCAATTGATTGTTCATGAGCAATGGACGTCCACGTCAATGCAAATGCATATATACGTTAGGCACATGTGGCAGCTCCCCAGCTCACCGCCAACAAGAGCGGCTGGGCACAATCCAAAGGTCCTTTGCTTGGAGACCCTCACCTGTGGCACATACGCCGTGCGGTGAACGAACTTGGTGTTCTCCCCCCGCTGTTTCCTCGATGACAGGCTCAATTCCGCACCGTTCACAATGTAGCGCCCCATCACGTGTCCGGTGTTCTTCCTCATGGCTAGGATGTCCAGCAGGGTGGATTTTCCGGCACCGGATGGACCCATCAGGGCCGTCAGCTGCCCCGGCAGAGCCATGCCGCACACGTCTGCACATTTGCAAGAAATCGATGTCCGCACTCGCCATGTGCTGCTGAATAGTCGAAAGGGCGTTACGCTGCTTCAAATGAATGCTTGTCGTCACGCTGGGCAGTACGGGAGGGGTGTACTGCACACAGGGTGAGCACATCCGCGTGGACGACAGATTCAAAATGTGTTTGATGTACGTCGTTTGGTTACGAGCAACCAGTGGCCGTACATTCGGCGGCCATCATCGCTCAGTACGCTGTTCATTATTCGCGCCACCTTAAATCGTTGACAATCATCAACGCCTTCAATACAACACACCAGGCTACAGCCAACCGTCGACGGGATTCCGCTCGATCCTAGTTTTTCTAAACTTAAGCACACAAAATTTGGATTTGAAACATTCCTTGGGTAATTCCAAACGCTGGCAATTGCGGCAATGTCTTCTAAACGCAAAATATAGGCGGCTTTTGCCGCCTACTGCCTGCACCTTATATCCTATGGCAGGGAATCCAAGGCGCTCGACTGTTCCGGAATGAAAAAGTTGGCACAAGAGCTGCCTTTATGTGCTTGTGGAAGAATGTTTCTCACCTTTAAGCACTTTCTTCTTTGGCTTTCCGTCATACACACAGGTAACGTTGCGCCACTCCAATTGAATTGCCTGGACTTGCGATATTATTCGGCCCGGTGTCTCAGGCTTTCGCAATTCGAAGGAATTCACTCCGTCGCCTGCTGTACATAGAGAGGGTCATCCCAATGAAGAAGTGAACATTGGCAATTTGGCTGCAGTAATTCCTTACGCCCGTCAGCGTTCTCACGTGCAAGATGCTGGAATGGGCACGCGACTTGATATGGGGACGGAGACGCGGCTTTGAAGACGCTCAATTTGCAAACATTCGATGCCACTGTGTGCGCTGGAAAACAGTGCATGCTGACTGACATAAAATGTAACAAAATACACCAAGTGGACTGCTCCATCACTGTCCACCACAAAGGCTGCTCTGTAGGCGAGCAATCCGCCAAAAAATCTACCCAGCAATGATATAAATAGCAACTCCGTCCATTCCAAGCCACTTCCAGCCACAATGCAGCGTCAGCAGACGAATGTCGTCTCAAAGTGCCGTCAGCGATTTCTCGACATGGCAGGAGGGCAACGAGCGATTGACGACATTTATGTCATCAATCATTCCTCACTTTCTCGCCACGTGCAGCAATCGCTGTAGGAGCTTTTGAGATGATATTCGTTTGCTGAGGCTGCATTATAATTGGCGTATAGTGAATGTTTTCACAGTACAGTGAAAACATTCATGGCTTTCTCGGCACTACGCAAGCAAATTCAACGACGCAGCTTTCACTAGTAAGATATTCCCCACACATACAGTTCCCCACTGTGCTCAAACTGTGTCCACAGTGGCAACAAATCGTAAAGTATCCTACTGTATCAATCGTGTTTTGGCAACATTTCCACCAGCATGTGTTTTATCATATTCATTGTGGAAATGAATCAACGAACCTGGGGGAGCAACACTGTCTTTTGGAAGGCCGTCAGCAGAACTCTTGTCCTCTTTAGATGACCAGAATTTGCATCTCTTATACCACCACCCACCGGAGTCCTTGTCTGACTCCATTGTGGTTTTTAGTGCCAGCAGCATCCACAGTGCCGCAAACGCATTCCCGAAAATGAATGCTGGAAGCCATAATTCAAGAAGCTCCCCCATGCGGAGTCAGCAGTAGAATACTTCCGCAATACAACAAAGGATATTTTGGCCTATTGGCCTATCACCTCCCCTGCAGCAATCCAGTAGAAATATCAAACCAACACAACTGTAGTGTGGGAACAACGCATGTGTCAGGCATGGAGAGGCCCCATTTTCTGGCGCGTATCTACCCTCGGTTGCCTGACAAAGGGCCCAACAAAGCAGTCCACAATGCCGCTTACACTGTGCAGACAGAAAAATGGCTGCATGCCGAGGACAACATTAGCAGAGCGGTGTCAACCACTCGCCGTGTCACCATTTTCGAGAAGGGCAAACTGGAAAGTAACACAGTTTCTCGCAACTCCGGAGTATGGATGTCAACCCCGGTCAGGAATTTCAGCGCAACCTCGGCACTATTTCGTGCGCATAGTTTGCGCCACTACATGCACAACAGCGCTGCTATCAGGCGTGCTCCTGTACGTACAATGGAATGCAACAGGTCATATTGGGGCTACACCATTCTCCGTTCTTGTCAGTGACTTTGTGTGTGTGCGTGTGTGTGCGTGTGGGGTGGGGTGGGGGTGGGTGTGTGGGTGTGGAAGGCGCGCGCGACGAGTAAAAGCGGCCTTACTCGGCAGTTGTGGGCTTCATGGCCTTAAGTGCCTTCAGCTGCTGCACTGGGCAATACACAGCCAGTGCCAGGGGGGAACGCCTTCAGGAATTGCCAAGGAATTTCTGCGTCTCCAGAAATGAAATTCCACCAATGTTGCCCCTTGGCACCCAGTTTTTCTCTCCGCCCGACTTTCGCCCCACGCGCAACAGCACCACATGGCCCCGTGCGCCGCCAGGCTGGCTGCAATGCGCGCCTAGAGGGCGCCAACACGTCCGCCCTTCCCTCTGCGTTGTCGCCCACAGCGCCGCTCGACGTGAATCCGCTATTCGGGGAGGCGCTTCGAAGCTTCATTGCAGAATTCGGCAATGGCGATGACAACCTGCGCCTTCGGAATTGCCCACTGCACGGCCAAATCCGCTCACAGGCGCGCATTTCTCCCTGCTTGAAGGAACCCGGCCGCGCATGGCGAATATTGGCGCAGGGTGAGCAGGAAAGGGCCCCCTCAGGCGGCCAAATCCCGGCGGGCCCGCGGACGGCCTCCACGCCTCGGAGCTTGCAGTCAGCGGCCCAAGGGCGGTCTCCCGTACCCACGTTCCGCCAAGGCTCAGTCTCCGACGCCAACCGCTCTCGCGTAGCTATCAGCCGCGCTCGGCTCCCCGGTGGTCGACGCGGTGAACAGCGGACACCTGCGCGGCCCCCTCGCCAAGCACCGCAGCGCGCTGCGCTGCTTTCAGGCCGTCGTATTGGCGAGACAGCGGGGCGCCATGGGACCGGCGGACGGGCCGCCCGATCGGCCTTGCCGTGAAGCTCACCTTGGCGGGCCGGCTGTTGGGCGGGCCGATCGGCGCGTGGGCGCCCCAGGTTGCCGGCGCCGGCCCGCCGTCCGGCGCCACCAACCACATCTGACTGAAACCGCCCCGTTTTGATGCGTTGGACCGGTGCGCCTCGCCGCCCGTCGTCCACGCGGCCGGAATTGTACTACCATTTCGTGATACGACTTGTTGTCACGCAGATCAGTTGCAGTCGCGCAACCCATCTTCGCCTCGAGCGTGGGGTAATGCGCGGCGATCGTCGGGATCTCGTCAGCCGACGGGACGCCCCCCCCGCGTCTGTCCATCGTCCGCTCAAGCCGCCCGGGGCGCCTGGCGAGGCGCATGGGAGGCCGGCCTCATTCGCCGGTCGCGAATCGACACTTTCGTGCGCACGAGGGCTTGCCTCCACAGTGGCAAGTCCACTGACCTTCACAGTGCGCATCGCCGCCGCCGCGAATCCGGGCGCCGCGGGCCCGCCTTGGCAGCCTGCGCCTCTCTTTCTTCGATAGACGGTGGGCGTCCAGCTCTCAGCACGATGGCTTGCTCCGCTGCCCTGGAATACGGCTTCAGCGTAGAGGCGACGTTAGGTTCGCCGCTGCGCACTGGGCGCAGCCGAGTGCGAAAGCACCATATGCGACAGTTCCCAACCTGGCAGCCGCCCACTGCAGTGGCGGCGGCTCCCCCGCTCTGCGCCCGGCCCAGACGGTGGCTTGCCGCCTGGGAATTCGAGACAATGGCACCAAAGCGTGGCCTGCACGGCCCTTGCTTCGTTGCGCAACTTCGTTACATCTTCAGGGGATGGCCGGCGCCCCTCCGGTACGCGGTATCGTAATGCTGATACCAGCCTCGCGTCGTTTCTCCGGTTGTCCCTTGTCAGCGGCCGGCATCACTTGTGACCCGCGATTAGCAAACCTTGCCGGCTCAAAAGAGTGATGTTGCCCAATCTGCCCGGTTGGAGGCGGGTCGAAAAGAGCAGAGCGCTGTCCGCGTTTGCCCGGCGCGGTCAAGCGCGGGAGTTGAAAGGGTGTTGGTGGCTTCCTACTGTCCCTCTTCCTCTTCTTGTTCAGCGGTGATTAATTGATTACTTGCAACTGGGACCAGGTTTCAGGATTTGAGACTCGGTCCCATTGTGTGTGTTCACACTCGTCACTGATACGCAATGCGGCGTTGCAACTGCAGGGCATCTGAATGTGAATGGGCGCCCATGCTGCTGCCAAGAATGTTATGAAATCTGTCGGTGAAGGGGATGGACAACATTATGTGTGACACAATGCCATAGGCCACAGTGGCAGCACAAGCAAGCTGCATACATGTGCTAAAGTGGAGAATTGGGCACTGCGAAGCGCACGGCGATTGTACAGTCACTCTTTTGCTGAAGCCCCATCGCAAGGAAACGGAACCAATCACACCGACGATACTGCTCCCAACTCCAAGACTGGAATTCAGATTTGGCTGTGCTGGCTGCCAGGAGCGTTTTAGAGGAATGGCACTTCTGCCACGCTCATTTCTTTTGAGTTTTAAGTTTTCCTGGCAATCTCGCTGCTCATGTTGAGTGCCAAGAGCTCCAGGACGAAGTGAAGCCATCATGCTGTGACAATCTGGAAAGATCGTTACGTGTAGATGTTCGTGCACAAATGGATATTAATTTGCGCCGTCATGTCAGATGATTCTTGAATTAGAGAATACCCTCTGTGAAGAACACAAGGGCGCTTCCCTATCCCATACTGGCCTCAGGCAGGGAGCCTGTTCGGGTCGCCAATTAATGGGGCTCATCCAAAAAGTTAGTAAGATAATGATATCACGCAGCTGGCGACCCGCGAGGTCCAGATTTGGTGCAGAGGGGATGTCGACAGCGTCAACATCTTCGCCATACTGAAAATCATCCATTAGGTTGGCGCTCAATGAGGCAGAAACCCCAAAACATCAATTAGGGTTGCTCTATACATGCCCTGAGTACAACTGGGAGTACTGAGGAACACCCAGGTTGCCACTGGACACGTGCGTTTGTTCAGGGGCACCCCTCCTTGCGGCCAGCCGTGGACCGTGGTGAGACAGAGCCAAGAGCGGCGCATGGAGGCGCCACGTGGTTGTTTGACGGGAATATGCCCCAAGGGGTATTGCGTGGTTGTTGACTGCAGGAAGTGTGGTTGTTTGGTGGGAATGTGGCCCTTGGGGCACACGTGGTGGCTGATTGTGGACAGTGGGGCGTCCTGGGTTGAGTTGTGGTGAAGCGGCAGGCGTGTCAGAAATTTTCTGGGTATCAAAAGAGCATCTCTTAGGCATGGGTGGTATTTTTGCCGGAGGGGTGCGGACAGTACCAAGGGGAACTCTGTATTGTTGCACTCGGCCTGGCAGCTGTAAGAACGGTTGCGCGGCGTTCATGTGTGCCTATCGCGGCAGTCTAGGCACTCAGCCTGGCTGCCTGACTCCCCTGGCCGTGTGCGCAACGTTCGCCACAGCTTGAGCGCAATAGCGCTCGATCTTTTCGAAGGTCGCGGCCAGCCTGTGCCTTTTCTGAGCCACTTTCCTTGCCGCCCAAGACCAGCAGTGCCAGCGCGGTCGTGCTGCAGAAGCGACCACCCTTCGTCGCTGCACAGCCTTGCCGAGGCGGACAGAAGAGTTTCCCATGTCATACACCGACGTGCTGTGGAGAAGGCAGCCCTGACCCGTGGACCTGACCTCCGTTTTTGAATTCGTCGACCGTTGAAGAGCTGTTGCGACCGGTCGGGGCGCTCAGAGCGGCAGCTGTGAGAGGCGCTACAAGCGTATTTGCATGGCTGGCTGGCAGTTGGGGGTTTTGCTACCCATTTGAAGCTTCTCCTTGCCGTCGCCTCAATCTTGTTGGTCGTGTCGGCATGCCAAGCAGTTCTTTGTGAAGCGCCGGTTCGCGCGAGGGGCGAAGCTTGTTCGTTGAGTGCACCCTCAACTGATGTGGTGCTGAGGCTGTCGACATGGCTCAGCTGCTCGTTTGAGGGTGACTTTACTGCGCTATCTCCGGGAACAACGGCCAGAATGGACCGCCGTTCTTTGCAAGCCCCAATTTAAAAGTATCTTGCAAAGTGTCTTCCAAAGCGGAAGCTTTCTGGCACATCACGGAGCTTGACATTATCCCTGTGCGGCCAGGCGCAACATGTGGAAGCACGCACACGAGTCCGCTGGGGCGGTCGCTGAGCGTCAACAATTGTCAAAGTGCCCTGCTAATAACCCAGAGTGGCCACACGCAACGCTTGGGTGGCGGCAACTTCTTCGGTTGTAATGGGTGTGCCGGGACGGAAATTCGCAGTGAAGGGAAAGAATGGGGCAGCCACGCATTGTCACACCGCCGGCAGTCCATTTCTGCGGCGGCGTGATCCCGAAGAGCGCGCAGCGCAACCGCACGTGCACAGGCGTACAACTCCCCACAGAGGTCCCCGTCTTCGCTGCTCCCAACCAGGAAAATCGAAGGAGGGCGCGGCAAGGCACAGCTACCCGCGCACCCGCGTCCTCCCATCCACCTCGGCGCATCGATCGTGCCCGCCGCCATGCGGAGCGCCAGCCCGCTGAGCGCGACGCTGGTGCTCGCCCTGTGGCTGCTCTGTGCGGCGCAGTGGGCGCCCCGGCCGGCCCGGGCGGCCGTGCCGGACGACCTGAGCAACTTCATGAACGAGTACGTCTGCAGCACGGACCTGCGCGTCGTGAGGTGAGCCACTCGCGGAGGACTGTTTGGACCGCAGGCGGCGCTTCGGCCGAGCTTCGCCCCCGGGGGGTCTAATCCACGGATTTCGGTGACGCGCTTCGGGGCGCGCGAGCCCATGCGCGAATGGGCGAATCGCGGGCCGATACGGAAGTGGCAAGCGGCGGGATCTTCGATATGCGGCTGTCACTTGTTCATTTCGCGAGCTTTCGGGCTGCCCCGCACCGTCTCCCGTTGGGGAGCAGAAATTGGGCCGCAGCGGGCGCGTGACATTGTGGAGGTGTGACGGCGTGGCTTGTAATGCATGGGGGCGACCCGGCTGAGCGATCAGCTGCATACCAATGGCCATGCGCACGTGCACCCGGTGAGTTCCGGCGCGCGGCGTCCCTGGATGGTGTGGGGGCGAGTCGTTGATGTTGCATGCAACAAGAGCGGGCTTCCCGTGCCATTTGCGGTGGCCATGGACACTGGCAATCATTTCGGCGCAACCGGACCGCGGAACAGCCATTGAAAGCGTCGGAGGCACAGTTGGTTCCAACTCCATCCTTTGTCACCTTTGCATCACAAACGGTGGAACTTTTTTCAATTAGTATCAATCTGGGGGTATGTTCCAGCGGTGCGAGGTTGAGGAACAGCATTCGCCCATGGCTGGAAACACGCCCTGATCAGGGTCAGTGACTGTGTGCGCAGGCCTGTGACGGTCCAGGACGTCCAGGACGCCGTCTCCTTGCATGACAAGATCGTTCCTGTGGGCACTGGCTACTCTTGGAACCAGGTAAGACTCAATTGAATTCTGCCGAAGAATGGCATGTGCAATGGAAGAGCTGTACCCTGAAGAACGAGCTGAGGAGCCCCAGAACCGACTCTAGATAGTTGGAATTATTGACTGCTGCAGAACTGTCTCGACTTGAATAGATATGGGAAATGTTTCTATTGTGCGCTATCTATTGGATTCCGTGCTGCTGGGATTTCAATTGAAATGATGTGGCCAATGAATTATGCCATTATTCGAGCACCTGGATCTACGTCATAGTGATGCAACATCAGCCGCACAAGCTTTGCGACGAAATTTTTGCGTTCTGCCTGTCTGCATCATTGTCCACGTCTGTCGTTTGGACGCTGGTGGGTTGGGGCCTCTTCATGGCCCATCCTAGGAGTCTGCGCGACAGTTGAAGCAATCAACTGGCACAAATGTCGTGTGGAAACCATAATGTTCTTAGCAAGGTTCCATGTGACATGATTGGCTGCAAGCAACACAGATTGGGAAGCATTGGCCTGTCAAGCAATGGCAACAAGAAATTCTGTGAGCCCAAGCCGTAATCGTTGCCATAATGTACAATGCAGAATAGACACTTTGGGCGCAAGTGTTGGATGCTTTAGCCCGCTACATGGAGTACGGTTTCCGAGTTCCAGGGCTTCCTGTGTCGTCTACTGATTATTAATGGTCGACAACACATTTGCACTCGCTCTAATTGCCACATTCTGATGCATGGCACATAACTGCCAGGCGACGTCCAGCTCTCGGGGTTGTTGAAATGCAAGCACAAACTTGTGAATTTGGCATCGCTGTCACCCACATTAGCAGAGCATGTTTGACCAAAAGCCCGCTGTGAATACGCACAGATCTGACACTTTTGTTGGCCCCTGCAGCCGTTCTTTTGCGCCGATCCGGCTGGAGTGTCAGCCAATGGCGATGCAGGGGGCGAAAGAGGCAAGAGGCGCCTTCTCACAGAGGCTCTCAGCCGGCGGGGGATGTTACAGGATGCTCCACCATCAAAGACGTCCGCCAATATCGCCATGACGACCATCAGGCCGATGACCATCACGATTGACGAGCAGGAAGAGACCGCTTGGATCGACGCTGGCATCTCAGTCCTGGATGCACTGGACTACCTGGGAAATTACGTCACCAAGAACGCCCGCAGGGGCTGGACCCTGCCAGCGTACTCGTTCTGGGTGCGGCAGACTGTGGCGGGGGCCGTGGCCACGGGCACGCACGGCAGCACCCTGAAGCACGGTTCGCTGTCGCAGCAGGTTGTGGCTTTGAGGGTGGTGCTTGCAAACGGCACCTTGGCGGAATTCACGCCCGAGTCCCACCCCATGCTCATGAAGGTAAGTAGCCTTCGTGAAGCGGCACTTCCTCTGACAACCGAGTCCAGGGCGGTCTTTGCACGATGCGTTTTCAGACCTGGATCGAATCTATTCGCCAAAACTGTGGACGGATTGGTTGGCAAATTCCATGAACGCTCTCAGGGAACGGCGTCTTGGTACTTAGCTGCAAAAAAGTGACAGCGCTTTGCTCTTGGACGAACCTGGGCCTAAACCGGGCCAACCTTTTCCGTGGAATAGAGCAACCACTGGGATTCGCAACACATAAAGCTATTCTAGATGCCTGTCGGGGTCTATTTGGTGCAGATCTATCCCTGCCCTTGACTAGTTGTTGAAAGCCACACCGGCAGCTGCACGGCATGGATTGTGTGGCCATGGGTGCTGCACGGTGTCCAGGCGCAATATTGCGCACTTATGAACGAAAATATTGCGAAGGGTCGCTCAAGGATGTGGGAACATAGCGCCCTGGCCCATATGATGCAGAAGAAGGCCAGGCGCCGATGATGGCTAATTGTCAAACATGAAGCATCTTGCTAAAAATGTGAACGGGCGCATACATGGGCATAAACATGGCTCATCATCCAAATTAAGTAAATTCTGCAAAACGACGTGCGTTTGTTGACTTGTGGACGGCCCTCAAGGGGATCCCTTGCAGAGAATATCAGTTCTGAGTGGTTGGACCGCTGTAACTGGTGTGAAATCACTGTTCCGAGCAAGAAACATTATGGTGCGTTTCCGTGTCCACCATCGATAAACGACGCGGGTGTGTTGTAAGGTGGGAAACAATGTTTCTCTGCATGTGCATTGCAGGCACTTCGCGTGAATGTCGGAAAGCTTGGAATTGTCACGTCTGTGAAATTCCGAATTGTTCGGGAACAGCCAGTCATCAGAACAGCGGCCTTGAACGTCAAATCTTCAGAGTTTCTCCAATCTCTGAGGGAGGCGCAGGACATGTTCAATGACAACGGCGAACTGCCACGGTGGATGAACGAGAGCCAAGTGTTTTGGATCCCTCAACTGAGCGAGGCAAGTAATCAATTCTCACCTTGTTTTGCCTTCTGCACAAGTAGATATGCACAGCAGAAATCTGAGAGATACATTTTTGTGCCTGGTAGTGCGCATTGCCGATTCGCTGATTGGCGCGGTTCAGTTAACAATGTCGCAACGCCACAGCACTAGCGTGTCCTCAAAATAGTGGTTTTCGGTTGTAGTCTGTGGTTCTCCATGTGCTCGCAAACAGTGTTATTTGATCCTTTTTCTTGCCAGTGTTGGTGTCCAAGGATGCCGGTGCTGCAGTAGCTCCATTCTTCCTAACAGACATGGCTAAATTGGCCGAGGACCTGGCACGTGGTTGTTCCCAGAAGCGACGACTGATGGCTACGAAGTGTGGTGGCTTGGCGCACGCGGAAGCATTAATCTCTGATATCTGGCATCAAATTGAATAATACAGCATTGCCGCCACATTGGGCTAATTGATCACTTCACGCAGCCTTACCCTTTGCTCAACCTTGTCGAATTGCTGAAGTCGTATATTGGAAACGGACATCGTGCCTGTCGAATATCAAATCCAGTACTGCTGCCGCGCTTCTGGCGCGATTTGCGCCAGAACGACTGTGCATCATTAAAAAGACGAATGATGCGTCGACGGCGCCGATGGGCTGTGCCAACATATCCAGGTAAACGGCTTTTTTTTCCCGCTTGCAGTTCAATAGATATAGCTTCGATCGAGGCGACGATCCAGATCCCGAGGTTCGAGAGCGCGTCTTGGGCGGCGAGAAGCCAGACAGAACGACTCTGAAAGAAGAGAAAGCCGCTTCAAGGGAAAAAGAGGGGCCGACGTACAAGTCGGAGAAGTTTCTGCGGAAGTTGAATGCGACGAGGATCAATCCCGAACTCGAAGGCCCGAGCGCAGCGCGGAGCGAGGACCCAGATGACCCAATGGGCGTGGCGAAAGGCGTGGTTTGGGAAGCACCGGAGCAAAGAGCGGCCGACCGTAAGCGTGGCTCCTTTCAGCACCCAACCGGGAAAATGTGTTTTCTATAACTAGTTCTATTTATGTTTCTATAGTTCTACTTTTGTGATATAGTGCCCATTCATGTTCGCAACTTGCATAGGGGAAAATCGTCACGCCAGCAACGCGCACACGTTCACTGGAGTGCCAGCGGACTTGCTGGCGGACGATTATGTCGGGTATGCGGGGCAAATAAGGATGTTGTACACTTGTCTGTGGTACTGGTCAGAAGCTGATGTAGGTTGACATTGTTGTGAGGGCGAAGTTCTTTGCTGCAGCTGCATGGTGTCCAGCGTTCGATTTCCGTGGCTGGGGGAAATTTTCATTCCAAGGACTCACTCACGCATTTCGTGCTCAACAGCCTTTTTCGTGTCAGAGAGCGGCAAGACCATCATGTTCGGCAACGCCATCGCTCTCCACACCCTGCTGCCCGACGGCACCTTCGAGACGCACGAGGCGTACCCCACCTACCCCCTGGCCCTCAGCCAAAAGCTCGTCGACGAGGTCCTGTACGACCAGTACGAGGTGGCCATCCCCTTCGCCACCATGGCCGACTGCATGGCCGGCATGCTGGAGACCCTACACGGGGAGGACATCGACGAGCGGCCCGACGACGACCTGGGATTCCGTACAGCGGCGCTCATACGGTTCGTCGGCCAGGAGGAGGGGCTTCTCTCCCCGACGCACGACGGGCCTCGCATGTACATCAACATGGAGGATTACATGTACTACAACGGCGAGGGCACGAGGAACGAGCGGTTTTTCGAGCTGATGGCCTTCATTAGGGGCAGCCCGCTGTGCAACGCGCGGATGCACTGGGGCAAGGCGGGGTGGCCCGACGCCGGGTGCTTCAGCGGCGCAGATGAGTACCCGGAGACTTGGTGCGACTTCGGCTGCGCGGTGCAGGAGCTGGACCCGCTGGGAAAGTTCCAGGACAGCGCGAGCGACCGCTGGAACTGGGAGGGCGCAAAACTGGACAAGTGCTGCAACGGCAGCGGGTACGACAGGTCTGTCAAAGGGTGCAACTGCAAGGTCAAGAGACTGAGGTCCGTCGAAGACTGTCCGCCATCACCCTTCTACACGAACCGGTAGAGCGAATCGCGCCTGTGGGCTGTATCTGCGGTACTCTGAGTGCTCGCGGTTGGCGACTCGGATGTCAAGGACGCAAAGAATGAAGAGTGTTTGATTCTCGCCTGCGTGATCACAGGAAATGGGGGTTGGCTCGAAGGCGAGGTGAGTGGCGCAGCCCAGGGCTTATGCGCAATGAAAGGTTCGGATTCCCATGCAACCTGCCTATATAGACGCCATCGCAGACATGGAATCCGATTTGATGCACGGTGGGCTGAACATAGGGACAGAGGACGGGGGCTGTCACGAGTAGGTTACGCTGCATTCGGTATCAATAGGACATTGGACGTTGCTTGTGCAGGCGCACCCCGTCGCCAGCTGAAGGATGGGGGGCAATCGTCATGACGATTACGCGGCCGCTGGCGTGCAAAGCCTGGCATGCTGCTGGCTGTGGCAGCCGCAACGTCTGTAGTCTGGAGGGCTGGAAGTATGGAAGTTGGGGATTTCGATGAGCTTGCATCCTGAAACCAGAAACTATTGAGGGGAAAGAGAGGCAATTTCATGCTAGCCCCTTTCGATCATCCCATGATACTATGCACATGCGTGTAGATGTCGAATGGCATCCCCAGGAGGACAGAAACACGAGGAGCCGGAGTGGCGAGGAGATAGTCATACTACTTTTGTGGGGATATTGCACATATGTACAACATACCATTTAGCGAGCACAACAGCACATTTGCAGGCAAAGCAGAGTCTAGCCAGGGCTCTCACCCCAGCACCGTGAAGTTGTTTGATGCATTGGATGCGACCCGAGTGGGAACTACACCAACTACAGCGCGCTCTAGCCGCCTTCCAAACCACGTGGCGTTGACGCGAAATCCCAACGTAGAAGGGTGCCTCGATCGCAAATTCTTCTTGGACAAAGAAGACTCGGTTGATGAGCACGCCCATGCCAATGTCTTCAGCCCTCAAGCGCGACAGGAATCTGGCGGCACCCCATATAGTTCCTTGGCAGGACCGCTGAGGCTTCGGAAATTACAGCAGTCCTTTCAGGGCCCCTTCGAATGCGTGCAACATGCTTGCCTAAAACCTACCAATGTCGATTCAAAACTGTGATGAATGCTCGCCGAGGCGGCAAGGGAGCAGTCAGTGGATTTGCTTGTTTTCAAGCCCTGGGAGAACGTTCGGTCGTGCCGACGGAAGCTCCAGAACTTTCATACGATTTCGCACAACGCCTAGGGCTTCCCCCTGGGGTATGTGTTGCATGCCTCCAGGCCACGTCCTACAGGAGGCTTCCAAGCCTATGATTCTGCCTGGGCGCCTGTATCGTGTGGCCTATGCACGGAGCACGCAGAAAAAACTGCGTATCGGGAGTGTTCCGTGCTGCACTGTCCCGCGTATAACTGCGTAAGTGCTTAGCAAGCAAATGATGACTTGCTGATGCTCGTCCAATAGTACCTTGAGCGCATTAGATCTACGGCCATCAAGCGCTTTTGGAAATCTCTTTAAATAAGAACCGAAATTCGATGGGAAGCGCCTGTCTGGAGATGGACACGACACCCGCCACAACGTGCCCAAACAAACAGATTGGTGAAGTGCAGATGGGCAGCGGGGGGAAAGGTTGTCAGCCCGCTCGAAAACGAGACACCGCTTTTAGGACTGAGCTCGGCAGCATCTGCACCGCAGCCGTCCATGTCGTCGTGCGACTGGGCCGCTCAGATCACACCACCAGGCGATGTTCCCGCTGCACTCCTCAATTGGATCCACTGGAGTACACGATTCCCCGTACGGCAATCCGCCCATCTTCTTGCCGCTCACCTCAAAACTTTCCGGATATGAAAGAGTGCGCAGCTCCGGCTGCACGGGCCACCTTCCGTTCTTGGCATATAGCTATAGCTACCGCAGCCGCGCCGTCGCAGCGTGCCTCCGGAGGCGCCCCGCGGCGGCCATTGCCAACATGGCCCCCCGGCGGCCTCGGGGCGCGTGGCTCACGGCGGCCGCCTGCCTCCTCCTCCTGGCCGTCTGCGCGCCCCGCCGTGCCCAAGCCGCCGTACCGGACGACCTGAGCAATTTTCAGAACGAGTTCGTCTGCAGCGCGGACGTGCGCATTGTGAGGTGGGCCGGCCACTCGAGGCTATATCTACCTCGCTTGGGCAAAAGTGGGCGATGCGACCGCCGATGTGGGTTTTCATGAAGTCGGATTGAGGTCCCCGCCCATGTGGGCGCACACCACGTGCAATCCGCGACTCTGTTCGCGTTCGGCAGGAGAGGTCGATCGCGGCGGGCGGTGCTTGTGATGTGTGCCGCGCTGCCTTGCTGGTCCCCAGCCAGTGCCCATCTTTCGCCGCTGGACGCCCGCCGGGCACCCGACGCTCCGCAAGGGATGACGTTGCGAACCCGTGATGGTCGGCGGCACGACATGGATGTGATCTGCCGTGGCGCGGTGCCCATGCGCATTAATGCGCAATATTGCGCACTGGCTGGCGTCCCCATGTGGGAACATGTGGATTTGCGTGCGTGCGCCGACTCTGAGTCGGAAGGCGGCGGGATGCCTGGGAATCCCAGGCTGGGGTCAGTAACTCAGCGCGCGAGTGAAGCAGACTCCCGCTGTCCAATGCCTCTGATTAGGAACCCGGAGCACTGGGAGGTCCACCATTGAATGAGCGCAAATGCGCATTGTTCTCGTGCGCGTCCTCCAGCGGTTCTGTTGACGGACGTTTGGAGAATGGGTATGGGTGCGCTGGCCGTGAGCTGTTGAACAACAGCTCTTCATTAAGTCGAAGTTGCAGTGGATCGGACAGAAGATTTCGTCAGACGAGATGCTAATTTGCCATTCAAGCGATATTACATTCGGCGCTCGTGTCCAAGAGCATTACAAAGAGGCGTCCAATGCTCGTATCGATACAACGACTGAATAAGATATGAAGTAAAGGTATCAAAATGAAGCGGATCCTCACCTCCTGCTGTTCGGGGATGCAGGCCGAGGACGATCCAAGACGTACAGGCTGCTGTGTCTCTGCATGACAAAATAATGCCGCTTGGAGCTGGGCACTCTTGGAACAAGGTGATGATCTAGATCTCATGGACATGAGGCAAAGGAAGGAAAGCAACACACTATATTGATAGCATGGCAAAGATGAACCAGCGGAATAAAGTGCGCCAGAAGGAAATGACAAGACTAGTGTGTCTTGTGAGAAGTCATAAACTGTCAAAGGTTTCAGCACACACAGTTTGGGCTGTGCTAGATCTGCTAAAGTGCTGTGCCTGGTATGTGATCGATGAGAAGGCCCTTGCGCTGACAACCAGAACCATTGCAGCAAACATGTGCCAAATATCCGGCACCACACCTCCAGGCACAATACAGCATGCCAAGTTCTGACCTACAGGATGGACGCGTAACCTGGAATGCCAGGATGCCTTACACGGCCCACTCTCTGTTCATACATTGAATGGCGTGCAAAGAAGCGCCAGCCATTGGTACGTTGAAACCACCACCATCTACAAAGATCCAAATGTTTTCCATTGAACAATTGGCAGACCATCATATGGTAGCGTGCGGATTGTGCAGGTACAATCTGTGCACAAAGTAAAATGTCATACGTCGGGATTGCTTGCCCATGGCAACATCTTTGGTCTCCTTGCTACCTTCAGATTCTGAAGGTAGCAAGGAGATTTCTGAAGTTCAAAAGTCGTCAGATCTAACTCCAAATGCTGCCTGCAGCCCTTCTTTTGCGCCGGTGGCGCCACCGCCGCAGCAGCAAACAACCATCAGAGTTCCGCCAACGTCGCAATGACTACCATGAGGCCGATGACCATCACGGTGGACGAACAGGAAGAGACCGCATGGATCGACGCCGGCATCCTGGTCGTGGACGCTCTGACCTATCTTTCTAATTACGTCACAGAAGTGGCTCCCCGGGGATGGACGCTTGCTTCGTACCCATTCTGGGTCAAGCAGACTGTGGCAGGGGCCATTGCCACAGGCACGCACGGCAGCACCCTGAAGCACGGGTCCCTGTCGCAGCAGGTGGTGGCCTTGAGAGTCGTGCTGGCCGACGGCTCCTTGGCGGAATTCAATCATCACCACCATCCCTTCCTGATGAAGGTGAGCGCACCCTGACGCCACCACCGAAGCGCTGGTAGACGGTACGTTCCTTTGAGCAGCAACGCCTGTTTGTTAAGTCTTGTCACGTGGTTGTGTTGCAAATATGAAGAAATGTTGAAGTGGATGGAAGGGACACATTATCTTTTTGTCTGTTGGGACACTTGGTCGTCCGTGATTGCATGAGAGTTGCCTTGCACTAATTGTTAAGTACTCAGACAGGGCAAAGAAACGGACCGATGGAAGCAACAAGACGCGCAGGAAAGAGAAACCACTAGTACATCAACAACTAGGATATTTAGCATTCAAGCATGCGGCTTGAGGCCATTAATGTCATTGAAAATATGTTTTTCAGATTGGTTACTGGCGCGGCTGCTATGGAAAGGGACTATTAGGTCAAGAATGGAACATAGTTTCAGGACGCGTGGCTTGAAGCGTTGGTTGACAGCGATGTGTGTAGATTACATCGCCTCGGGAGGCACAGTTGGATATGGGCAATGAGATGGGATTGCTTTGTATGCTTCTGCAGGCGTTTCGTGTGAACATGGGAAAACTTGGAATTGTTACCTCCGTGAAATTCCGAATCGTTCGAGAGCAGCCAGTCATCAGGACCGTATCCAAGGGCATTCTGCCATCCGCTTTTCTCCAGTCCTTGAGAGAGGCGCAAGACATGTTTAACTACAATGGAGAGGTGCCGAGGTGGATGAACGAGAGCCAAGTATTCTGGATACCACAGCTAAACGAGGTGAGCGTGGGCAACAGTTGGAAGGGACAGCACAGTTTCTGAAAGAAGTACAAGTTCTGTAATCTGTCTGATAATGATGGGATCACTGCAAGTAGCAGAACCCTTGCTCGTTTCTATCGAATGAAAGCCAGTTATGGTGCCCTGTTCTTCCTTTAGGTTCGTATGGCTGTAAGGAACGGGGGTTGCGAGTTTTTATGATCAGTGCGACATGGAAACCGAAGGGGTGGGAAGTGTGATAGCTCGCCACATATGAGCTGCTGAGGCAACACGAAACGAGTACTCGATTACAAATTGCCGATATAAGATTGAATCCAAGCTCGCTTGGACGCGTGGCACATCAGTAACACGAGTTTGCGCCTTTGAGACAGGACCAACTTGGACGCAGAACAATATGATGGAAATGTGCTGCCATTTTTCTCATTATCCTATCATTGAGTACTTTTTTCTCCGTGCCTGCCGCCTTGGTCAAGCCATTGTGTTCCTTGTGCAGTTCATCAGGTACGACTTCGATAGGGGTGACGACCCCGATCCCAACATAAGGGAGCACGTTCTCAGGAACGAGCGTCCGGACAGCACAACTTTGACTGAGGAGGTGTCATCGGGGGAGGGCATTGGATATTTCCACAAAGTGAAGGGAATATTGAGGAACTCTTTGACACAGATACTCCAGCAGACCATTGATGCGAGGATCAATTATCCACTCGTGGGCCCAAGGGCGGTGCGCACTGCCGATCCACACGATCCATTCGGTGTCGCCAAAGGGGTGTTGTGGGAAGAGCCAAGGAAGAAGCATCCCCAGCGTAAGTAAGGGAGGGTATTTGGTGACATTGCAAGAAAACAATAGGGGCGGAAAATGAGCAGTTTTGCTGGTTTTTGCAGGGGATCGCCATTTGCACAAGTAGAATGGGCGAAAGCCACATGCTCTGAGGGCTCGCAACCTTCTCTGTACCTCTGCTATAGTCTGCAACGAATCCAAAAGCGATAATTTGCACAAGCGCAGATACTGCGGCGTTCCAAAACGCCATGTCCATTGGCTTGCTGCATTCCCATTCCCATCTAATTTCAATTTCAATCCAACCAGATTTTCAAATGTCACTGGATGGCGATAATATGGTTAGTTCTGTTTTTTCTGCATACCTCATGGCTGACGTTTCAATTATTTCATGGGCAAGAACCCATTAATGGGCTGCATTTCGCATAGTCTCTCGATGTTTTTAACAGTATAAATCAGATTCTGAATAAGTTGCCATTGACGCTAATTAAGCCATTGGAATCTGCAAAAGTCGCTTAATACTCAGAGTGCAGCTCTTCAGTAGAGCAAACTGTGCTTGAAGTACCAGACACTTCTGTACATTCTTTCTTATTTAACCGATTCCTGCCACCTAATATGGGACGTTAATTAAGTAAACGGACCACGTTTCGGTGTGGACTTCAATCGGCTTTCCGTCGACACCTCCTGACGATTACCTCGCCCTGGCCCCGCAGCCTACTGGGCGCACGACATCGGCAAGACCGCCATGGCGGGCAACGCCCTGGCCCTCCTCACCGCCCTCCCCGGCGGCGCCTTCGAGGCGCACGAGGCGTACCCCACGTACCCCTCCACCGCCGCCCTCGCCCTCGTCGACCACGTCCTCTACGACCAGTACGAGGTGGCCATCCCCTTCGCCACCATGGCCGACTGCCTGGCCGGCATGCTGGAGACGGTGTACGGAGAGGACATCGATGGAGTTGACCCCGTGGCGTCCTCGCAAGACAGGGGCTTCCGAACGGCCCCCCTCATACGGTTCGTCAGCCAGGAGGAGGGCCTTCTGTCCCCCACGAACGACGGACCTCGCATGTACATCAACATGGAGGATTACAGGTACTCAAAAATTGTGAGGTCATTTGTAGACCGGTGGCATAGAGACACTGTCTGAGTATCTAAGTGCAGCTGAAGCACGTGATATGACCAGTGTGTCGGCTTTCACGGTGCCTTGCTTCGTTTGTTCGTGCACTCGTTCGTTCGCGGTCGCTCGCCTTCGTTCGCGGTCGTTCGCGGTCGTTCGCCTTCGTTCGCCTTCATTCGCGGTCGTTCGCGGTCGTTCGCGGTCGTTCGCGGTCGTTCGCGGTCGTTCGCGGTCGTTCGCGGTCGTTCGCGGTCGTTCGCGGTCGTTGGCGGCCGTTCGCCTTCGTTCGCCTTCATTCGCGGTCGTTCGCGGTCGTTCGCGGTCGTTCGCGGTCGTTCGGGGTCGTTCGCCTTCGTTCGCGGCCGTACGCGTTCTTCGTTTTCGTTCGTTCGTTCATTCGTTTCGTGCGGTCGGTCGGTTTGTTTGTTTGTTTCTTCCTTACATGGATGCATCGACATGATGTCATGGCACGGTCGGCCGGTCGGTCGGTCGGTCAGTCGTGCGTTCGTTGATGCATGCATTCAATTATTCATTCATTCACTCATTCGTCTACAGGTACTACAATGGTGGCGGACAGAGGAACGAGCCATTTTTCAGGCTGATGGCCTTCGTGAGGGGGAGCCCGCTGTGCAACGCGAGGATGCACTGGGGGAAGGCGGGGTGGCCTGACGCGGGGTGCTTCAGCGGTGCGGAGGAATACCCGGAGACTTGGTGCGATTTCGGCTGCGCGGTGCGGGCGCTGGACCCATGGGGAAAGTTCCAGGACAGCGCGGGCGACCGCTGGAACTGGGAGGGTGCCGACCTGGAGAGGTGCTGCAACGAGGGCGGGTATGACAGGTCCATTGAGGGGTGCAACTGCCAGGTGCCGAGGCTGAGGTCTGTGGAAGACTGCCCACCGTCGCCTTTCTACACGGATCAGTAGCGCGAGCCTCGCGGGGGTCCTCACGTCAGCCCAGTCTTGAACCCGCCTGCTGATGTGCATTGGTTCCAGCAAAGACGTCGTTGGCTGACGATACAGCTATCGAGGGGCGCTGTTGGTCTTGGTGCCTGAGATATGTTGATTAGGAGGCAACCGTTGTTCAAAGTGATTCATTCCAATCGCAGTGAATGGGGATTGGATTCTAGGGTGCCGTTTGGGGCTGTAGTCGAGTGCTTGTGTGGGCGGACTGCAAGGAGCAGAGTAGGATTCTGTGCAGTAAGGGACACCATCATGGGTTGACGAGTGAAAGCTTTCTGCGTGTCGGGTTGCATAGCAGGATGCACACAACGAATACGCGTACATGGTCGGCCTGTATCGGAGCTGCTGCCGACTGGGCACGAACGTCAGCTGCACAATCGTCTTTGAGGGCCGTTACGATATCGAATGGCATTTAGTGCGGCGGTCGTCAGACACAGAAGGGTCACGTCGATTTGACCACAGGAATAGCGGAATGGTGGTCTGCTTGGACCTTGGCACGTTTTGGTGGGGATTAGTGGTCGTGTTCTACGCAAATAGGAGAGGGAGAGCAGAGCGGCAGTCTTTTGGGCGCCGTTGCATGGCGGATCGGTGTTGTGGCGTTGTTTCATGGTGTGGTGCTGTAACGGGAGACCAGAACGATGGCGCCGGTTGGGGATTGAGACGTGTGGAGAAGCCTATTCGCCGGCCGTGCGAGCCGGCCAGTGGGCGGTCTCGAAGTCGGAAGACTGGTTCACGTTAACATTCCATTCTATTTTAGTGTTCTCTTTGTAACATAACTTAAGGTTTGCTTTTCCGTTCTATCTTGGTAGCAGAGTCCCAGCCAAGCACGACAATCAAGCACGCGCAGTGCCATCGCAGGGATAACATAAGTCTGATCTTTTCTTTTGAAGCTCCCGTGCCCAGCCTCGTGGGAATGACATTCACCGCCCTTCACTTCGGTGACTCTTTGCGGCCGCGGTGTTGACCTCCCCTTCGGTACAGGACTCCCACGGGCAGCGGTAGAGCAGAGGTTGCTGGGAAAAACCATAAAAAGCGCTCGCAGATGCACGCAAGGCTGTCTTGTGGCGTCAAATGCACGATCAACCGTATGTCCCACGAAATGGATGCGGCGATGACATTCGGTTTGGCAGATGTGGACGGGAGCGTAATTGCATCGCCAGTTGTCGTTCATTAGTGCTTGTGGCGATTTCAACACTGCGATCGCAGACATGTGCGCTGATTGAACATGAGTGTCTGTACGCAGCGCTGTGCTGATGCGCTCTGCGTTTGTGCTTGTATTGTCGATCCGTCCCTGTGGTCCCATGTGCTCGGGTTTTGGACAGTGCTGGGACATAGTCTTAACAACAAGCTCCATGCGCGGCCATATGTCCCTCAAGGTACCTCAGATTCCGGAATCAGTCCCCTGCGTGTGGACACCTCCAAGCATTGCTGGTAGTGGAACATGCAACAAGTCGTTGCTAGTCAGCACCACGCGGACATTGACTACGCCGTCCATTGGGCACGTCATTCCCCACAAACAAGAAGCAGTAAGGAGGATTGTTAGCAGAATCCCACGCGCTCAACCACCGATCGAACATCAATGGAAAGTAATTGAGCTAGCAACCAGGTTGAGGACCCCGGTAGTCAAATTCGCCAGAAACTCAAGATTGTGGGTGGGCAAAGTTGTTCCACCAACTGCCGCTGCTGCACTCAAACGGGACCGCTGCTACTTTCACTTGTTCCTTTTCCAATGAGAGTGCCGATCGCTCGAAAGCAACAGCAAGTCGCGGACCATGAGCGGCATTTCTGAAATGCCAAAAAATTCATTGCTTTGCGGTTTCCGGCCCTGTTACCCGGGCAAGAGGATCCGTTGCTGCTGAATCCTCAGCACAAGTACACTTGTTACGAATCACAGTGAAACCAGGTCATTCACCACCTGTCCTCCACGCGTTTCATTTGGGAGAGGTCTTATTGTCCAATCCGCAAGTTAGGTGAACACCGACCTATAATACAAACCCACTTGCAGGAAGGCTCGCCCAGAAGTGTGGCAGAGCGTGGAACATGCTCCAGCTCTTCTCATGACAGCTCCTATAAACGGACAGTTAAGCGGAAAAAAATTGCCGCTGTAAACAACAACTTGCGACTTGCTAAACAGCTTGCCCCTGGCCAACCGCATGAAATCAAATGACCTCAGACACAATAGAGGAGCATCAATGCACTGCGTTGTATACAACCAGCCATCCAAGACAACAGCCAGAGGCAATTTCCGGCAAAGGCACCAATACCAATCGGTATCCATACACGAAGGGGGGCGCAAACACCAAGCACATAGTACAGGAGACACCATTCAGCATGACAGCTACAGCAGCTGCATCCAGACGTGCCACTGGCCACATGCGCTCCACAGCCCTCGCACGATGTCAACCAATACTGCCCTTCCTTATGTGGCCCGCACAAACAGCCACCTCTGCCAGCAGCAGAGCTCACATGACGCTATTGACAGGTGTACCGGCATTGGCTTTGGAAATGCACCGCTTTGTATTGCCTGGCAGCATGTCGAAACGCCTCACTGCCATCATTCATGGCGCCACTTTCAGCTCCTCCTCAGAGACGAGAATGCCATCACCATCGGCATAGAGGAACTGCCCGGGGCAGAATGTGACGCCGCCAAAGGTCACCGGAACATCGCGCAGCCCTGGGTCCCGTTTGGAGCTCTTGAGGGGGTAAGGGCTGAGCGCCTTCACAAGGAGGGGCATTTTGCTTATGTCTTCAGAATCTCGGATGCAGCCATTGACGATGATGCCCTGTTGGGCCAGCAGGAATTGTTACACACTTGCACATGGGTGCACTGTGTTCTTTACACTGAACTGCATATGTGACATGGACAACAATGCATACAGTTGATGGCAATTGACACTTGATAAAACCTATAGGCACTGTCACATCACACCCAGCCACTCCAGAGGCGAGATGAATGGCAGCATCTGTAACCACGACGTGCTGTTCCCAACTGTTCGATCCTTGTATCAAGGATGGCCTCCACAAAAGCCTGAGAACGCAAGTGAAGTGCAAAAGGGTCTATTCGATGCGAACCTACAGGGTGGAGTAGGGAGAGCGGCTACCATGAGCTCCTCTGGATGCCCACAATCAGGTGATTAGATGGTGGCCATCTGTGCACCAAACTCCTGGCAACCTCCATAAGACTTGAAAAGCTGTGACCTTCTGGGCGTTATCTTGGTGTTTTGTTTCTCGAATCCATGCCCAACCTTGGCAAAGATGAAAAATGGAAAATCATACCCTGGCAATCTCAAGGCGCTGAAGAAGACAGCAATATTCTTGGAGTCACAATGAAACCAGAGTTCTAGGCAGTGGGCAACTAGGGCAACTCACACTCCATCCATTCTTGTGGCCCATCTCTGCAAGGTTGTCCCCAAGCAACGCACAACGCAGGGATCCTCCGCCGTCCACTACCAGCACGCGCCCTTGCCCATCCTCCTCCAGCGCCTGGCCAATTTGCAGCCAATGAACTTCACCAATATTGCAAGGAGCAGAAACAAGGATTGGCAACTGTGTTGTTTCCCCTGTTTGCAACTACTGGTGTTGTTCACGCTGGGGTGCATCTCTTGTCATTTTTTCTGCTCCTGCTACTCTTTGTTGCATGCCATTTCCATCACAATTTCACCAAGCACTGCAAAATCCTTGTACACCACTTCTAAACTGATATTGTTGCAAAAACTGAGCTCAGAGGATACACATACCAAAACCAATATCTCGCATTTCACACTGCTATAAAGGGTACATTTACACAATCACATTTGGGGTGCACTTCTGGATCATATGTTCATGATAAGGAAAGTGAGCAAACTCATTCTTGCTCTAGCAGGGTGGGCGGAGTGAAGGGGTTGGGCCCTGTCATATTGCATGTCCTGTCATATCTTTCTATTGATGAGACAATTTTCAAGTGCATGACAGCAAAGTAAAGTATGCTGCACTCTTAAGGGCAGAATGTATTTTGCGACACACGTAAAACAGCAACAACAAGGGTGGGACTGACATAGGAATGATTTTGCTGTTCATGCAACAAGCCATTTAAAATTTTCCGTAAAACACGAATGAAATTGGCTAGGTTGGCACCGATAAAACGACAACTGAGAATAAATATGTGTGCGCACTTGTTCATTTTTAGGATCCTTCACTACGACGATTTTTGTACGGCACTTCTATTCTGAGCCTAGCCTGCATATAATGAGGTGCTGATATGGTGTTGTGCAAGCTGACCCTGATGGCACTGCACTGATCGCTCTGATGTGTTGGCAGTAGTGTGGAGTTGCGGTGATTCTACTGACCCACTTGAACCATTCTGAGGAATGTGGCACCCAAATCCCAGCATTCCGTTCTGACTACAGGTGAGCTTTCATGTGCAGACAGAATACACCATGCACTGTAGGGAAACGACAAGACTCAACCGTTCAGACCATTGCCTTGCTGCATATGCATTTCACACCTTTCGAACAAGGGGGTTGTTCTCAAAACACTTCACCGTTGAAATTCTGCCTGCACACCGCTTGTTTCCTCCAAAATCCCTGTGAAACCACACCACGACTCACTGCGCTCTCGGCCAAATTGTTGGTCTCAGAGATGGGTGCCAGTCTGCCAGCTTTCTGGCAACACAATTTTTGTGTGGGGTGGGTGGTGGTGGGTGGTGGGTGGTGGGTGGTGGGTGGTGGGTGGTGGGTGGTGGGTGGTGGGTGGTGGGTGGTGGGTGGTGGGGGTGGGTGGGGGTGGGTGGTGGTGGCAAAAGTGGGGGGTGGGGGGTGGGGGCTGGGGTTGGGGTGGGGTGGGGTGTCAAGATGTTGACAACCATGCACTAAGTACATTCAGGCCTGGGAGCAACGAGGAGGCTATATCAGGCACATGGCGGGCAGCAGGTACCACACGGGCAGTGTTTGTTCAGAAACCCAGCAGCCAGGTCTGTGTGTATGTGTGTGTGGGGTGGGGTGGGGGGGGGGTTGGACGCCAAATGGCTGGCCCAGGGACAGTGACTGTGCTGAGTTGGGGATTCGCATATTTTAACAATTTGAACCAATTTCTACCCCATCATTCCACCCTTTATTGCATGTCATTTCCACTGCACATTGCTGCATCATCTGTGACAAAAGAGCAATAGATTTCACACAAGTTGAGCTCTGGTGAGACTGCAAGTGTTCCTTCCCGTTGTGGGAATGACAAATGAATGAACATCCTTACAGACAACGTGAAAATTCGACACACTGGTCATGTCACGCGTCTCTGCTGATCTCAGATAGTCAAGCAGCGTCCCCTTGCTGGCAGTCTACACTGACCTCACAGTTACTGGCAAAAAAAAACTCCACAGCAAGTAAGAATTATAGCATCTTCCAATCTGCACTCTCCACCAAATTCAATACCTTCAATTGCATTTTGCAGATGGACAGAGTTCAGAGACACAAACAGACGGGTTACTAACATCCACTTTGGGTGCAAGAGCGCCCATCAGAAGCGTCCAAGGTGCATGGGCACTTTCTTGCCAATTGTTGTGCGCACATGTATCCATTGTGTCTGGAAAAAACACCCACTGCTCTGTGGCACATGTTTCTATTGAGTCCAACCACTCAGACAGCATCAGGTTCCTACTGGCAGGCAAGAATTTCACAGCACTCAGAAAACAAAGAACACATGAAACCCAACATCAACAATGCAATGAATGTACTGCACCACATGTTCGTTGCCATGTTCCTTCTCATGTCCCAAGGGACACAGGGCCCCAGATAGTCAACTGCTTGCGCTGCAAAGTCAGTTGATATCAAAATGAATTCATACCCGCCAATCCCAAAACTCCAGTAAAGAGCAACACAAACAATTACCAGCTCAGGAGGAGGGAGACGGGTGAGGATGGACGGGGGAGACTTGGGCGCTATCTTTTTTCTACTTGTCAGTGCGAATCTTCTGCCCCGACAGTGGCACATTGCTTCCAGCTGAATGACATCGCGGATCCAAGAAACCATCGCGCAAACACCCAGGCGCACCGCCCCACCTGAATATCGGCTGCACGATGGCGACCTTCCTCTCACACACCTGGTCCACGGGCTCGGGCATAAACACGTCGCAGAGGTCCGCGGTGCCCGCCCGCGACGTGTCGGGGGGCGGCACGCTCGTGGACGGACCACCCGTCGACAGAGGGCAGCCGATCGGTGCGCCCGATAAGCCGCACTGCGACCACAGCGCCGGGGGGATGGAGCGCCTACCCGCTCTTGCGCTCCTCCAGAGTGCACCCAACATGTCTGCCAAGGCCCTGCGAACGTCGCACCAATGGCATCACTTGAAAATCATCAACTCCCCACCTCACGGTTTCAACCAAAGCATCGATCAAGCCTTCTACCCCAACGGCGCCTGCCCAGCGTGTGCTACGTCCACCTTTCTGAGAGACCGGATTCCATGCAATGGGCGTCAGCCTCCTCAACAACTCTGTGAGGCTCGTTTCCAAGACGTGGAACCAAAAACAGAGGACTCCGAGCGCAACGGGAACAGCACGCATCTGAGCGACACCTGCGGCCCCATTGGCGTCGAAAGCCGCTGAACCCCCTCCTTAAACCAAGTCAGCAAAGGCAACGCCAGAAACGCAGGATCCGATTGGCCCTTCCTGCAGGGTGCGTGAATACGAATGTGCGGCTCAAGGCGTCCGTGGCCTCGCCTGTGGTTGGCGGAGGGGGACGCGCGATGGACGGACCTTGATCCCTCAAACCCGACGGCCGTGAGGGCTCCGCTCCCGCAGCTCTCCACACGCCGCGTTTCTTCCGCACAGGCCGTCGGCAGGCCGCAGACTGCGAGGCACAACTTCGCGCGGACCCCTCCTGATCGCGCTGGTCACAAGAACGGAGGAGCGCACGCACACGTGACAGGAGGAGAGAATATATTACTCCCCGTTCTTGTTTGCTGAATTTCTGTTCTTGTTCCGCTGACAAGGCCAGTCCCGGTGCGTGGATCAGTAGTTGGGGTTTAGGGTGTCCGAAAACAAGAACCGAAATTCAGCAAACAAGAACGGGGAGTAATTTCATGCCCCCATGCGGACGCACTGCGCACAGCGAATATATTGGTCCCTCTGTCTTCCGTGTGGATGTGTTCACCGCAGCAAGCAGAGGCGTACGGATGTGACCGCACTTCTCTTTGTCGCTGGAGGCGTTTCTTGGCCCGAAAGCGTTATTGACAGTCGAGCTGACGCCTTGAGGGTGATGCGGATACAGACCGTGAGCACGGTCACGGCGACGGCGACGGAGACGGTGACCAGTCCTGACCCGTCTCCGTCTCCATCACCGTTTTCGTGCCGTGAGACCCTAAACACTCCAAAAGACCCCAAAAACAGTTCTCTGCCGGCGTCTCTGCATCCGCCCACAAGGCACGCAATGCTGTGACTGATCTCCCTGGATTTGTGCCGGCGCCCAGGAGGCATAAAATTACTGGCTGCACCAAATCGGTGACTTTCTGCACTACATCGGTGACTGCTTGCACCAACTCCCTCCAAAACTTACCTAACCTAAAACCTAAACCCTAAGCCCTAAAACTAAACCTGCCCTAACCTAACCCTTGCCCTAAAACTCACCCTTAAACTAAACCTAACTCTAAAACTGAGGTGAGGACATAGTGTGCACGTGATTTGGTGCAAGCAGTCACCGATTTGGTGCGGGCAGTAATATTATTTCCCCCCGGGGCACCGATTTGCCACGGCGCCCATTTGCCTGCTGCTTCCCCCCCGCAGCACCTGCTCCGCGCCAGATTCCGTGCCGCTCGCGCCGCGGCAAGCACGGCACGGCGCCGCGCAAGGTTGCCGACACGATCCCTCAAACCCCACCGCTTGAGACGCTGGCCCCTGCTGCGCATCAATCACCGGCCGTGCTTGAGCATCCCGGGCTTTTAAGTCGCTGTCGGAAATCGCCGCGGGGCGCTTTTTTGGGATCGGCAATGAGTGCGATGGCCAGCGCGGAGCAGGAGCACAAGGTTGTGAGGCTGTCGATAGTGACGGCGGTGGAGGACGCGCGCCGCGTGCTGGCCGAAGCGAAGTACCACACCGCGATGCTTGGGCACCTGGCCAAGGAGATGGGCAAGGTGGCCGGCGTGTTGCGAGACATCCTGACGGACGATGGGACAGGATCCACGGCGCCCATCCTCCAGGAGGCGATAGAGGGTTCGGCCTACCTGGCTAGGCGCCACACGGAGCCGTTCAGGATCGCGACGTTCATGCGCACGAAGGCCGTCAAGCGGCGCGTCGAGGAGATATGCGTGGTCTTGGACGTCGTCGTCGGGGGCCGCAATGTGGGGATAAGGACGCGAATAGATGAGGAGAGCCTGAATGGAGACAGGAGGGATCTGAGGAGATTTCTGACATGCATCTGGGAGGGCAAGAGCGGTGCGGAGGGGCTGGGGGAGGGCCTGCGCAGTGAGCTGCGTGGGCTGATCCGCGAGCACGAGGAGCGAATGGGTGCCATCAATTTCATTCTTGATGAGGACGTTCGGGGGCGCAGGCCCCTGGCGCAGGGGGGGAATCTCTTCGGGGCGAGGTGGGAGGGGCGCGGCGTGGCGGTGAAGGACCTCGGGGAGGACCAGGACGCCGAGGCGATGGCCGACGCGTTCGCCGAGGTGGAGACTTACCTGCAGCTGAGGCACCCGTCCGTGGTGCAGCTGTGGGGCCTGACCTACTGCAACAAGCTCGTCATGGAGATGCCGTCGTCGGACCTGCGGAGCCTGTGGATGGGATCCCCGAACATGGGCTGCATTGAGAGAGCGCATCTGATCATGGACGCTGCTGGGGGCCTAGAGCACTTGCACCGAAAGGGGGTGGTGCACATGAACGTGACATGCGCCAATTTCTGGGTTTTTGAAGATTCTGCAGCTGGCAGCCGGGTTGTGAAGATTGCAGATTTGGCGCTGGCACGAGCTGCTGGAGGGATGGCATTTGATACGGCCAAGATGGGGGATGGAGACCTTGTGTACATGGCCCCAGAAGTTCACAGAGGACAACCCCACGATTTTGCGTCTGACACTTTCGGCTTCGGGGTGATCATGTATGAAGTCATGGGAGGGGCACCGCCCTATGCTGGCTGTAAGACCAAGGACATGGTGGCGATGAAGGGAAGTGGGGAAGAGCCCTGCGGTGGTGGCCCGCAATGGCCTGGCTCGTGGCCAGACTCCAGCGATGAGAACGACCTTGCAGGCCTGCTGGCATTGATGCACAGCTGCATCGAACCTGACCCGTGCAAGCGACCCACCATGAGTGAGGTGGTCTTGGGTTTGCGCCGCATCTTCACGCCCTTGCTGGCTGCAGAGGTTAGTTGCCAACGAAAGAATGGCTGAATGCATCCATCGCAATAACGTGGAAAACGACACAGGCCATGGCTCATGCCTCCACTGAGCCTAGATAATCGGACAGGATCCGGGAGTTGTCATCGTCAATGCATCCTTCATTTCAGTCACCAATTAGTGTTCACAATATTGACTCTGATCCCTATAACCTGAGCAACTTGTCTTCGCCCTGTGCCATATTGGGGAAGCAGTGAGTTCTGTACTTGATTGTTGTTATCTTTGTTGGATTTCATAAAAGTTCATTATATTGAGTGGTATAGTTGATCGTCTGGCGTCGAGAAGCAAGGTAACAAAGCGTTGAGCGCCGCTTCCATAATACTGGATCTCCCAAGTGGGTTCACAAATAGAAAGCCACCTGGAGAGTGGGCCCAGCATTGTCCACCTGCACTGCCTGGAAAACGCAAGGGAGCAGGTGAGCCCTGTGCTGCTCATGCCAGTGGCATTGTTTCCAAGGCCACCCCGATCGCTCTACCCCCATGGGTAAAACAGACGCTCTACGAGCAAAACAAGCCATGCCATTTGACACATGGCAACTTAACAGGACATAAATGTGTAGCTGTGTTCCCAGAGTTTGCGTCCATGCAAGCATGCCAGCACCTAGGTTGGGCATTCGCTGATGTGTACATTCGCGCCCGCAACCATGCTTTTCAACAAGGTAGGACAATGAGCAGCGGCCTTTGAGAAAAGCAGCTGTGGCACAACACACCTGTGCAAGCATATTATCCTGCTAATATGTTAGGCCATACATGACTGCAGCACATTGTTTGACCTTAAACAGAAAAGAAAACAGAAGAAAGAAGATTGAAGCAAGAAAAAGAAAAAGGATTGAAGAATATCCCAAAGAGAAAGTTCAATCTTAAAAAGATTGAAGAACATCTGAAAGGTTGATTCCCAGCAACCAGGAGTTGGTGTCCATCCATGGATTGAAGCACATTCTGTATTTTGGCTGTGTATTCTATTTGCCCATGTCCTTCACAATAGGGATTGGGCGATTGGATGGATTGCATTGAATGACACATCAGCCTGTTGCTAATCGTCGGCATCGCCTTGTACTGTGAGCTTGTCACCATTGACTGAAAAATGTTCTGTCAATATCCAGGGAGCCACAAACCCTCCTGAGAGGCATTCCCAGCATCAAGAAGTTCAGGTAAATGTCGCACGCTCCACCATTGCACGTATGTATTGATCACGATGCATCCATATGCTCTTCGAAAGGAGTTATTGAAACAGAGGCAGACCGCCCTGACTGCTATGCTTGCTGCATTCAAAAGGGCCACAGGTTGATGGTGGCAGCCAGCAGCGGCAGTGATGTAGAAGTGAGAGAACTCCTGAGTCGAGGCGTGAGCCCCGACCTGGTGTTGAACGAGGTGTGTATTTTGAATGCATGCCCTTGCCAGCACATGCTTGCTGTCCCAACGCCAGCATTGCAGAAATGGCATCATCATTCAGCAGCCAACGGCAACTGTTGCCCAGTACATCACTATTAAGAGGTTTGGGATCTGGACTCTGCGTGGAGCCATGTCCATCATTCTGGAATGATATCAATAGATGACGATTGACGGCCCGTGAAGTCGGGCTTGATGCAAGCTGCATCTGAATGGACGAAGCTGTGCACGCAGTATATCTTTGCAGATGCGGGGTACATCAAGACCAACCTTAGCAAATTTGTGGTGGCTGTGATGGACTGAGGGCCGTGCATGCTAGTGCCCACTGTTAGTACTTTAATTCTCATGTCATGGTCGTTTCACAAATAGCATTTTCCACGAATTAAGACAGAATGTTATTCACATTGCAGCCACACACGGACACATGTTTGCATGTCGGAGAAGGATAGCCTTCGTGTCTGTCTGTGAGTGTGTGGCGACTCGATTACTCCTCACTGTTCGTGAACAATCTTTGGTCGATGGCTGGATGCAACATGACATGTCGGGCATGGCGACGAGGGATGCCCATCAATGTACAGATGCTGAAAGGTGCTGTTCGCCATCCATCCAGAGGTCCTTGTGCCATGGGCGTCATATGAATTGTTAAAATTTTCGCGCAGTACTTTGTTAGACCTTGAAATTCAACATCCTCTCGTCATCTAGCTGGGAGATTTGTGCCAAGGGCCGCACATGAATTGTTCCATTTTCCATTTCTTAAATACAAAATTATCCTGACTGCGAACATCAACAAGATTCTTTCTGAGAGTGTGCACCAATGCCATGATATTGTTCCTTGTAGGGCAGTTGCTGTGCTCAGTTGCGACGCGGTCCTAATCTCCGCTGAAATGGTGTGCTTTTGGACCTTGTGCAGAAAGGTGAAACTGCGTTACTTGTGTCGTCACGCGGTGGACACAATGGTGTCGTGGATGTATTGCTCAATGCAGGTGCCAACGTTGATTGCAGAGACAATGTGAGTATTTGGTTCTAAAAATGAGGCTCGCATCAATTGCCTTGCTTTCGGGAGTGCGCCCTTGTAGATCCGGCAAAGGAGTGCGTGACCCAATTTAGTATGAAGATTTTGGAAGGAGGTGCTTAGCACGCTAATTTGTGTTTCGTTGTTGGTGCGGTCTTTCTCACTACGACTGCAGCCTGTAGGAGCCGCAGGCAATCTTACCAGCGGAAGTGGCATTACAGTAACATCACTTCAACAGAAGAACTGTCAGCGCAACATCGGATTAATTGTCTGTTCCTTGATTGTATGTGCAATGCAATGTGTTTCATCACACTTGAGAGTCCATGGGCGCATTTGGGTGGCGTTCAGCTTTTCGAATTATGACACGCGGTGTGCTTCTTCCCATTTGGGACAGAACGAATGGACTCCCCTGATGCATGCTGCTAAGGGAGGTCATCACGGTATTGTTGCGAAATTGGTGCAACTTTGGCGGGCCAATGCAAATGCAAGCGACATGGTGCGTGGCTGTCCCTTGACTGGATATGCAAGTCTACAATCTCGCAATGAACTGCTCCATTCGGCGATTCCGCCTTTAGGTGTTTCACTTGTGCTGTCTGTATCTTCTGATGTCTTCCATTGACGTCCCACCAATTTAGCATCATCGCTGCCTGGGGCAGCTGGCAGGTAACTAATTTTAGCGATGGAATTTGCGGTGCCATTTCGGCACTTTTTAGCGTCAATCGGCGTCGCACTTGGCATCTCCAAAAACATCTTCTCTACTGCCGTACGTTCCGCGCTTCCATCGCTGGAATGGCGGCCAGAGATTGCCTTCCATCTGCGCAAGGTTCTTTTCAGTGCTTTTGTCAGTAATTGAACACGTCCGCAGAGTCGGATGCTGTACCGTTGCCCCAAGTAGAATTTCATTTTGTGAGGAGACTGAGACCGCGGGGTGGCAATTGCTGCGTACACATGGCGATCGGATTGGTGAGTGATGTGTCGTGCTATGGTTACCAGAGGTATCTTCGCTTGGTGCAGTTTCCTTTGCTATTTGTAGTCATCATGGTTTGGTAATAATAAACGAATAAATAAACAAATAACTAGACATTAAACGAATGAGCAAATGAGTAAATAAGTGAATGGATGAGTGAATAAATGAGTGAATGAATAAGTGAGTAATTTTAAGTTCTTTGTGAATTCTTTAGAACTACTCAAATCGATTATCGGTAACATAAAACATGTTGCTTGAAATGGTACCATATCACTCTGTATAGACGGCACGTCACTAGCATTTTTTTGATATTGCAAAGATTTGCGCTGCGAAATTTTTTGACTACATTAGCAGCCTGTAATATTTGCTAGATAATGCCTAAAGCTGGTGCCTACAGCCAAACTTCGTTCAATGTGCAAACTGCGTCAGGCTGAATGAAAATAGCGCATGAGCACTGCCTCGCGTCACGAGACATCCTCAGCTACGCCGCTGCTCTTTGACACGACTTCCCAAGTGAGATGAAGCACCTCTGCTTGTCGTGTTGCTGCAGATTGGCTGGACTCCCCTCATGCTGGCCGCCCAAGCGGGTCACCGTGAAATAGTCAGCCTGTTGGTAAACGGCGGGGGAACAGTAGGGATGGCGCGCCAGGTGCGCTGCCGGAAGATTGGTCAGTTTGTGTGATATGATTCGCTTGTTTATGTCGTAAAAATTTGATGAAAAGCGTGCATCAGACTACCTATACTTTAGATGTGAATTCATGTTGGAGCACGTTTATATTTGTTTTGATGCGTCTTGTATGTACTGATGTTATGAGCACATGCATGCTACAGCAGCTACTGAATAATCCGAAAAATCGTACTCTTGTTCAAAGGTCTGGATTGAGCCACAGCCCGCTTTGGGTGCTCTTGACTGCTTCAAATTCCGACTATGAGCTGGAACGGCAGGCAGGCAAGCAGTTTTTTGTTTGTGAGCGGAAATGGCTGCATTGGAATTTGATTTTGGGGCAGCTTGGATTTGCTATAGTTGGGAAAAACCGTTTACATCAATTTAAAAGCAATTGCAATACATCCCGAGAATTACAAATGGGACCAACAGCAACTGCAAATCTGTTGAGGTTACAGCTTGGCTTCCATAGCACGCGACAATCTTGCACTACATTCAAACCATGCTTGTGACCGTTACCAACACCAGGTACGTTGCTTTTCCAATAACTAATGTAAGAAGCTTCCTGAGATTTCGAACGTCTGTTGCATGTCACAAGACAGCATGGCAATGCATTGCCAAGCTCTGACGTATTCTGACAATCAAGTTCATTTTGTCTTTGTACTTTTTAAAAAAGGCTTTCCCCTCGCTCACCGAGTCGTGATGAATCATGCCATGAACGCCAGCACAACATGCCGTGAGACCGTTGCTCAGATTCGCCGAAACTAGGTCATGAGAGTTAACCATTTGATTCTTCCATTCTCGGAATTTCTAGCCGGAGCGAATTGAGGCAACGTGGTCGAAGCAATGGTTTGTGTAGCATGATGCACTTCACCGCCTTGTGTCCGCCTGGTCTTAATTTGCCATCTTCTGGCGAACATGATCGAAAGAGTTGAGTCGAAGCAACTGTTGGTCGATGCCCACTCGAATGGCGCAGGACGGCAGAACGGCCCTCATGGACGCTGCGCAATTCAAGCACGCCGACATCGTGTCCCTTCTGGGGGCGGCTGGTGCCATTGACAGGCAGGACACGGTGAGCGCCCGTTGCATCTGAAACCTAAGCACCTCGGTTTTAAAACGCCGGCCGGTAGTCGCTGTCCAGCCACAAATTTGCAAGGTCAGTTCATCTGACCATTCTGGCACCAACTTCGGACCCCTCGGTGGATGCTCCCATGCCCCTGCCAGTACAAATATGGTATGAAGTGAACATTTGCAGCGTGGCATGTGAACAGACGACGCGCTGTCCACCGGACGCTTGTCCTTGCACCGCAACGAGAGTGGCCTAAGGTGTTTAAAAGAATGTTGCGGTGCTAAGTTTCCTCCAATGGTGGTGTCGCGAGTGCGTTTCTTGGAAAGGGGGCCGCAGCCGATTCGCACAGCCCGATCTGCACGATGAAGAGCTGAAACAGTTGGACGTCATGGAGATTGTCTGAAAGGCACTTGTTCGTGATTTTAGACAACAGGGCAGTTTGGGGCGGGCGGTTCCACGGCAGATGATGCGAAATGCTCCGGATTTTGGTTGCAGCAATTGTTTTGGTCACCTTTCACCTATGTCCAGGGAGCGTGTGGATGGCCGATGGACGTGAACTGCGCACATCAGTACATTCCAGTGGTCCAGGTTGCTAGGGCACGATCGACAGCATTAGTGGAAATGGCCATTTCTGTGACATCAGATGACAATAAAAGACGCCTGCTGGGACGCCACCGGGACGCTTCCAATAATCCGCTCGCTCGGCCAACGGTCGAGACAGCGTCCCCGTGGCGTCCCGGCAGGCGTCTTTTATTGTCATCTGATGTCACAGAAATGGCCATTTCCTATAGCGCTGGAAGAGCGTTTTGTCCGAACTTCGTGCATGCCTTGCCCTCCAAAAGAAGCTCTAGAAGGCGGCCGGATCCAATGGCCTTGTAGTGACCCGCAATCAACAATCGCCGATACATGGCCAGCTGGCGGCCGCCTGTAACGAGCAGCACGGCTGCGAGGTCATCTGGTGAAGTTGGCATCGACCACATTACAGCATAATGTTGTGGACTTTTCCCGGATCGATTGGCGCTACTTGTGATGCTGTTCCTGGTACATGCAGGCGCCGTTACTATTGTAGCGAATGCGATTGGCTTACATGTCAGTTGCGTTTCTTTGTTTCAAGCATGGTTCCTCAAATCATGTATTTTCGCCGCTGAGGCAGGTCATCTCGCATTCTGGGGACCACACCATGCTGATTTGGGTGCTGTTGGGGTTAAATTGGTGCGGGGCGTGGGGTTTTAGGGTGGGTAGGCAGTATTTTGTACGCATCTGTAGAAACTGGCAGGCAGGAAATGTGTTTGAACGCCCTGAGGAGGAGCATCAATTTGATGCTGTTCAGGCAAATTTTCACGGTTGTGTTCTTGGATACTGGGCGCGACAGCGTAGCCAAAAGTAATTACCACCAGTTGCTATGTACGGATAACACTGTAAATAACAATGTATACAACGACGCAATGAATTTGATCAATTTTAAATCGATGACAGGATTTTGTAAGAATAGGTGCATCTGAGTGTGAAATACGAAACTTTGCAGTCACCTTTCCTGGAAAAGTGCGCTCCTGGGGAAAATTGCACCGTTCTCTCCGCACAGAGAGTTGTTTTCAAATGCAAACCACACTCTGTGCGGAAAGAGCTGATACAGCAGCGTAAAGTGTTTTTGTAAGAATTTGCGGTGTTCATCAGTATGAGGGCACTCAATGTTGTTTTGAAACCATCTTGTTAAGAATAATGCGAGGCTGCTGCGATGAACTTGTTCCAGGAGGGCAACACGGCGCTTCACATCGCGGCAGGCGTCGGCTGCATGCCTGCCGTTAGGAAGCTGCTGACAGCTGGAGCTTACGTTCTCCAGAAGAACAAAGTGAGTGAATGCCATATGCGTGCAGAAACCAGAAGGGAAATTTCGCTCTCATCTTCTCAGTCGCTGGCGCTGCGGTGCCCCTGAACATCTTGGCACATGCGTATGGGAGTACCTGACCATGCTGTATGTCTAATTGGACTGCTGACCGAGATTGATGGTCACGTGAAATGACGTTGAGGAGGGCGACTGATGCTTTGTGTCCTTTGCAGATGCAACAGACTGCCGCTGACGTCGCCTGTGATGATGAAATCGCCAGGCTGGTAAGCCTTATATGTTGGGTTCCGTGGCAAAAACTTGTCGCACCTGCTGTACATTGCAACTTGTGCTCCAGGCACCGCCTTCGCTTGTTACCCCCTGCAGCAGAACTGAAAATACCAGTAATCTGTGTTGAAAATGAAAGCCAATGTTACAGATTTGAAATGAAATTTGAGCGTATTCTTATGAACTAACGGTGGTGAAAATAGATGCACATGGAGAGATGTTGACTGCGCTCACAATGCTTCAGTAAGTGCTCATAGGCGGGGGGTACAGAACAATTTGCTGGGGTCATCGGCGCGCTTGTGCACAGGAAAATGGACGCACCATTCTGCATGAGATGGGTAACCGGTGTTGCCGATGGGTCGGCCAAGGAATGTGGGAACTGGATGGGGGCTGCGGTCGAACACGCCAGCAAAATTGATGGCATCCAATTTCGTTTGTTCTGCAGGGGAAGTTCCTCAGTTATTGTACTATAACACGTTCGTGGTAGCTTGAAACCCTTTCCATCACTTCTACAAAAGCGTCATTGCATTGGATTGGTTGTGCCGCCACATGCCTCGCGATCGTTCCAAACAATGATCAAGAAGCCTGGGTTGGCACAATCTATGCAATCCAATTATGTTTTTGTGAAATGCAGTTGATTCCCTTGCTGTCAGTCCAGCAGCCTGCCAATTGGTTGCATTCACGTGATGGAGCAACCTGTCAATCAATCAGTGCGTCTGTCAATCCATCCATGTTCGAGCGTCCGCTCATCGAGCGCTGCGACCAGCGCAGCTGCGCTGCCTTGCTCGCATTCCATTTTGAATCACGCTGGTTGACGTTTGGACCGCATGTGTGCCCTGCTGCCAGAACGGCGTTCTAGCAATAAGACATGCGTACGGTGCAAACTTTAGCCAGCATGGTGCAATCATCCGTTGCAGGAAATTTCATACAAAAGCAATGGCACAGAGTGAGTTCCGGTGGTGAACATGCGATTTGACATATATGTATACAATGTCGGGCACTTTAGCATACCGCCAGTGAAAATTAACACTATGCATGATGGTCACCAGTTTCGTGAAAACAATTGTTTAAACCTGGGGTATCTGTGGTTTCGAGAAGGACTTCACATGTGCTTCCTCCGTCCAGGACTAATTGTCCCCTATTCGAAAGACAAATTTCATTACAATACCAACTTCAAAATCACAAATGGAGCTCAAAATCAGAAAGATGGGGTTCCAAAACCCTTGACTACCAATTTAAAAAAAAAGTTAGCCCCGATCCCTCTGAGCAGCCCCCAAACTGCCCCATGCTTTGTCCAAAAAATGTGCGTTCACATTCCAGGTCCACGGGAGATCCCCACGGATCTGCGCCGCTCCCATCCCAGCGTGAAGCATGGGGAAGTCGTTGCTTCCATCGTGGCAAAGCGTGGCGTCAAACACGCGGAAGAGGGCCTGCCACATGCGCTCAAGCGCGCTTTGGTGGTGATTGTAGAAGGTTGTTGTCATGGCGTTGAACCCATCCTGCGGATTTCCACCCCCTTGATCTCTGATGCACAGACTTGCAAGGAGTTGAAAAACCCAAGGTCCAGAACGTTAAAGTTTGGATTCTGTGCTGGCCTTCACTTCAAGTTTATGTCGTAACCTTCCTTTCAACATTCCGCCTCGAACAAACTTGAATTGATGATTTTGTGTGTAGCTTGGCCCCATCGATCTAGATAACAATGTGCTTCTTCAATTGCTTGTAAGCATCTCTGATGGTGGGGAAGACTTTTGCCACCATCACATCTCTCCACGCGTTGCCATCAGCTAAACCAACTTCAATTCTGTCTCCCTAGCAGCCTAATTCTTGTTGGATCGAGCCGCAATGCCCTCTCCAACAAAGGGCCAAGTACCAGCAAGTCCACGAAAGTGTGTCCTGTTTGCCTGTTTGTGGGGTCGACCTATAGTCGCTAAGAAGATCTTCTTCTTTATGAAAGCTTTGCTTTGTGCTTGGCAGCACCAGGAAGCCTATCTTCTGGCAGAAGCCAAACCTTTTGGGCATCTTTCGTCACATAGGACCACTTTTCATCGATGTGGATCGTGTTTGCAAAATCAAAAAATTCCCATTTTTGATAAACTTTTCACGTGTGGCTCACAATCCAACACAACCTAGCGAGTCTTTGCTTGTGCATGAGACATGGCCCGATCCACCTTCCCAGCCTTCTCGCGCCCATTCCCCTCAAGTGAAAAAAGCTGGTCGATTTTGGCAAATCAAACTTGGCAGCCATTTCACAGATCGTTTGCCACTTGGTTGGGGAGATGGCCGGCACTCTCAATTGCACCTCGCCGACAACATTAGGGCGCCTCCCACAATGGCCCTGACAGTTGTGACGGAGGTTGAAAACTCCTGGCCCAGAAATCTGGGCCCAGAAGGCAGCTCCAATCTGCCGGATCGTCCTCGTATTGTAGCCATAAGTCGCGGCGAGTTTGGCAATCAGGCCCGCAGGAACACATTTTTCTGTCACCTTGCCATTTCACCAGAACCACCCTGACCTTCAGTCTGAACGGTGTAGAAAGTTGTGCATAGGTGGCCTTGTTTTGTTGTTGTGAACGTGTGCTTCTCACCATCACGAAAAAACGGCCGTTTTGGTAACTTCGTTGAAAAACGGTGGTTTTCTGGCCGGAAGTCCCCTATTACAAAATATTGCCAAATCCTCAATACTTAATGGATTTACTTGAAATTTTGATGGTGTACTCCAGAAACATAATCCTAGCCTTAGAAGAGATTTTATTCAAAATGGAGCTTTTGTGATAGAAAAGCAGGGCACCAAAATTATAGAGGACAATTAAACTTGGATGGGAAAGTATATGCAATCAGTTGCTCCCTTTAGCACGCATAAAAGGAAAGCGTGCTCCTTTGAAAACGAATAGATTTTGCATTGATAAAATAAATTGAATTCAGCCCCAGGTACTTTTGTATTGAAAAAATTGATGACAAGTGGCATGATGATTGTACGGATTCGGAATCGAATTTGATTATGGTGCGATGCTGATTCTTGTTGTTGCCTTTGTACAGTTGTGGCAGTGCGCAAAGTACAAGTGTGCGGACGACTGGGCATGGCTCAATCGCAAGGAAAATGTGAGTGATGTGTTCCAACGAATTAAGAGAAGACGCTATGTCGGTTTTGGTACGCTTAGTGTCAAAATGACGCTAAGGGAAGGAGGGGGGGGGGATGGTAGATTTAAGACGCTAAGAGATAATGCAATTGCCACCAAAACGACATAAGGAAGGAAGGTGCCCCAAAACGCCACTGAGAAATGGCAAACAACCCCTGACATGCTCTTAAGCCTGCTGCAAGTGTTTGATAATCAAAGAAGGCCTTAAAATGGATCAATTTGCTGCTATTGAGGCTGCCCGCCTCACCTACAATGGCATTTAGAATCATAGTTTTCAGCCAACTGAAATCAGCACGACTTTCTTTGTTTTTGTCCTTAGAAACACCTGGAAGCTGATGCCACTATTAGGTAATGTTGTTGAGCCATCCTGGCTTCGACATAAAGATTGACACTAAGGAGGGTGGGGTTGGGAGTGGGGGTGAGGGGTCTGAGCTAAACGTCAAATTGATGCTAAGCGTACCAAAATCAACATAGCGTCTTCCCTAAAGGGGAAACTGGCTGCGCAAGAATGGCGAAATTGGGCCACAGCGTCCTTGCACGCACGTCTTCACCCACAGCAGTGGCCCTCTATGCATATACATACGAACCGTTGCTCCTTTGGCATCCAACGTGCTGTCATGCCCATGCTGGGGTGCTTGCCCGCCGGGGCCTGTTGGCCTGCATCCTTGTAGCAGCACTTTTGATGATTGGCGAGTTCCGGACGCACAGGTGGAGCAAGAGGCGAAGGCGTGGCAAGATGTGCTCGACTTAAAGGTGCAGCAGCAACAAAATGCGCCACAGGGCAAGAAGGGGCGTCAGGCAATCGAGTGGCGTAAACATAGAGTGCATATGGGTTTCACGCGTCTTGCACTGTTCCCCGTGAACCCCAGCACAGGCTCAGAGTACTAGGTGTTGGGCCTTATGCACGCATTGTCTGTGAGGGTGTATGAGCATAAATCCATGCTTTTATCTGAATGGCAACTCATGCAGGTATTTTTTGAATTATTTTGTTCTTACCACGTGGATGGTGTGCAGATGGATCATTTTGATTCTTGTGCCCAACATTGAGGCTGCGGCCCCTTCTGGCAAGCCATACCTCTTTTTATGTTTTTGTTGTCTGTTCGCCATTTGTGTGCTGCCTTTATTACTACCTCCGTTCCATAAATCTTGTCTGTTATCCAACCTTGCCATAACTTTGCAATATCAACTCAATTAATAAATCTATCACCAAATTCGGGTTCCTTGGTCGATTTTGAGGTGATGGGGATCTTGGTTAAATTAGTCATCATCATACAACAAGGCTGCATAGCCTTATCGAAAGCGTCGCTGTACATGTTCGTCAAGGCCTCAATTCTCATAGTTTATTGCTCATTTTATCCCCATATGTGTCAGCCTATTTCCCCGAAATTATTGAATGACTTTGTTGTAGGCAATAAATAGGCAATGCTACAAACTTTTAAGAACTTGGCATCATCGCAGTCACACTCTGTGTGGACCATCTCTTCTGCTATGTTGGCTCAAGCATTGAAGTTGTCAATATCAACGATTCGCCATGTTGTCACCGACCTAGGTCGTTCTTGGATCAGCGTCAGTATGCACGGCCTTCCTGACCTTGTTGCACCGGTTAGGTCAATGGTATTGCATTAATCTAGGTGCCTTTTGGCCTTCAGCCACAACGCACGTACGATTCCTGTTGACATCCAGAAACCTGTGGCAAGCCCACATCTTTCTTTCTGTGGATTCAGTTTTGAATTTAGCTGAATCTTCATTGTTTCCAAAACCACCAGGTCATTCATATTTCCCAGAGACGACTCAGCTCGATCCAACTCCTTCAAAAGGCAAGATTAGCTCCCCATACCCCTCTACAGGTCCCGGGAAAAGGAAAAGTGTGCTCCTCTCAGCATATCTCAAGAACGGCATCGCCGTTTTCCATGCTTAAGAGCTCTATAGATAGCTATCAACATGGCGCGTTGAAGTTGTTTTAGTCCAATTTTCAAACTCGCATGTTTTGACCTCCAGTTGCGTGATTTGGGTAACGGACAGGACTTTTGGAACAGAGGCAGTATTATGCCTATTCTTTTGCCCCGCGCCTGCGGTTGGTAGCTGCGAACACCACATGGGCTCACAATCGGGATGCTCACCGCGGATGCATCAAATTTCCGACTCAATTGCTTTGTAGCACAGCGCAACCCACAAAGCTTACTGTCATCAATACATGCACATGACACATTGTGCCAGGCGTCGCATTTTGCACTGCGCGCCACATTATTCTTTGCCATATACTGCCCACTGTTTGCATTTATGTGCTGTGTTACACAGAGTACTGGCGACGCTTGTCGCTGTACTGCTTTGCAGGTGACGCCACGCATGGAAAGTGCCAAAGTGAACGTGTGGCAGAGGGCGGCAAGGGTTGGTGACATGGAAGAGCTGGGGAGGCTTCTGGACGATGGCCAAGATCCAAATGCCGTCATGGGTGCAGTACGTCCAAACGCGCGAACCCTCGTTGAACCAGCGCCCGAGTTGATTGTGCTGCCTTTGTTTGTACTTGACGACATTTTGACATTAACATTCGCTCAACGTGATTTGGTTCTATTAATCGTTGCGATGGGTAACAAGCAACAGCACTGCATTCTGCGTCCTCTGGCGTGTAGCCACAGTTGATGCAAATCAAAATATTGGCTCAAGTGATTCTTGCTGCCAGGATGTGCTAATGTGCTTGAACAAGGTAACAATGTTTGAAATGACGGCGGTTTGCGCTGAGGCGACGGAATGGGACGTGCTGTGCAGGCAGAGCTGACGGCCCTGATGCGGGCAGCACAGAGCGGCCGTGTGGCTGCGACGCGGCTCCTCATCCAGAGGGGCGCCGCCGTCAACGCCACAAACAAGGTGCACCGCGTCTCTAGCGCAGCTCCTGGCGCCCACTGCTGCTTTGTGGATCAACTACTCAACTGGAAGCCACACTGCATGCAGGGGTGTGCTTCTTTGAATTTTCGGCATTTCGAAATTCTCAGCTGGATCATCCAGCTGAGAATTTGGGTATGCATCCAGCCTGGATGTATGAGGCTCGCGTTCCGTTCGACCGGAATTGTATTTGCCAACGTTGGCAAGCGTGGTAGTGAGTGTGAATCGAGCCAAATGACGCGCGGACTTTGTAATAGCACTTTCCCGTCCTTCCTTATCGCAGTGTCTCATCATGGCACCAAATTGTCGACACTGGACGAGTTTTGGGATCTCGAGCCCGCGGGCGGAGTTGGAGGATCGCGCCACCGCCGCGCTCGCCTGCGTGTGAACTCTCGGCCCAAGCGGCATTGCTGCCATCCAGTGCCCCGCTTCCCGCATAGGCGCAGCATATTTTTTTCAGCATTGTCTCATGCAATGCACGACTGGGCGCGCGAACACCTGCCGCCAACCCACTCAATCCCTGCATGCAGTTTACGGGCAGCGCATGCAGGGGTCGAGCTGGATCCGCTGGCTTTTTGACAACGTGTAGGCGCACTGTGTGCTGACGGGCACGGCCAGAAGCCGGGGCATCGCTGAGCACACTCAGGGATCTTCACATTACCTTCCCTGCCTATTTACTGGTACTTACAAATACCACGGTGAGATGCGCGCTGTATCCGTTCAGTCAAGTTGAATGAAGAAATTTGAGCTAGTAGTTGGTCCGCAAAATAGAAAAGCAAATGTAACAGCAGAATAAAATATGTAGAAAAGCGAAATTACAACAGGGTACAGAAACAGCTACGATATATCCAACGAAATATTGGGCAGTGCTGTGCCACGCTTCGCCGATAGTAAGTGGCTAATTTCATTAAGTTCTTGGTGTAACGTGATTGGGAAATCCTGTGGGCATACAAGATGACCGATCGCATCTTTGTGCTGACCCATTTCCAGTATTTTTCAGGAAGGATTGTCGGCGCTGTACCTGGCCCTTCAGGAAGGGTGTATGGGCGCGGCCCTGGCGCTGATCGACGGTGGCGCCAGTGTCAATGCCCACCGCCAGGTGAGTTTGCCGAAGACCGCTAAATGGAAACCTCAAATTTTTTGTACATCTGCGTTTAATGCACCAGTTAATAACACGAGCACGTTTGCACGTGGCAATGCCAATATGTGGAAATCCGGACTGAAGAGCCAGAGCTCTGTATTTCAGAAATCTGGAAACTTGATGTTCGAAAAGTCTTTGATGCAGGGGCGGTGCTGTTTTTGTGGTTTGGCAACACCAGTGAACCCCTTCGTCGAACAGAAGCAAATTTTTATAGGAGTCCGTTCTATTATTATTACATTTGTTGGGTGTGTTCTCTACAGTTTTGAAAGGCTTGGAAAAGGGCGTTCGTTTATATCATGCGCCGATCCTCGCACTGGACATTCTGGTCGCCTCCACATACATGGAGCGCGGTGGTCACATTTCCGTAGTACATATCACAGCGGCAATTCTCAGAACTGCTGTTCAGCATAAGTTTGATTGTTTACTAGCTCCAACAGCAGCATATCTCTCTTCTGATCAGTTGGTCTTGGATGCTTTTGTGTCTGTAAAAAAAGGTACTAGAAATCTTGCACCAATCGGATCTTGTGGCTCGACCTCCACCACCCTCCCTTGATCGTGAGAAGAATATAAACTGCGCTCGATGTAGACCACATTACATCCTGTATCGCATCGGGAATAGAATCTTGCATTTTCGCCTGTATACGTGGCGATGTGCACTTCACTGGACTATTGACGCTCAGATCTGTCGCACAGTGTTTCGCTGCCCCTTTCCCGAGGTTGTCAATGAAAGTATCACAACTTTCGAACTTTCTTGTTTTTGACAATCGCTGATGGGCTTCGTCACAGTCCTTCATGTCCCAAAGACGCCAATACCACGCCAATATATATTACTAATCCAATACAATATACTACGCCAGTATATGTTATTTGGACCTTTTCCCCCCAGTGTACAGAACCACGAGAAGCCCAAATTCGCTTTGCCTAAAAATTGCTTTGTGGCCTTTGTTTCCAACCAGGGAAAGAACCCACCTTTGGTGGCCGCAGCCGCAAACGGTCATATGGACGCTGTGGAGTTCCTGCTTGAGCATGGAGCCGACACCGAAGCGCGTGGCAAGGTGATAAACGTTCGACTCACACGCCGCAAACGCGTCGATGGGTACGTACGTGCAGGCTGCTCCCTGTTAAGCACTGGACAAGCGCATCGACGGAAAGCATGCTTGGAAGGAGGAAATTCGTTGGCCATTCGACCAGCCGCAGAGGATGCCTTGCGGTGTGCTCTTTGATCATTTAGGAACGTCCTTGAGAAATTGTGGAAAGACAGAAGGGCAATGCTGATGCGGGATTGTGTCTCAGGAAGGGAACACCGCCATCATTGCGGCGTGCAAGTCGTCTGGCGGCAGAGATTTTCCGAATCAGGACATCGTGGATGCATTGCGTCGAGCTGGGGCAAGCTTGGACTCCCAGGATGAGGTTCGTGCATTGCAGTGCGGCCGCCATGGGGCACTGTTAATTTTTTACGCTCCTAGGATTGCAGTCGCCGCACGTGGTAAAGCACAGTCTTTGCATCAATCAGCGCTGATTGGCATATGATGCAGCCAACCGAAGTGCATTGGGCCCCATGTTCATGCATGAAGCTCCTCTCCACAAAAACCGCGAGGAGGCCGCGCAAGGGACGTGAATGTCGGTGGCCACCTGGATGCTTATTTTGCCTTTGCGCGAGTTTTCAAGATGGTGTGACTCCATGATGCCGTGTCTCAAGTCTTCGTCATGGTGACCGTCGGCACCAGATCCGAGCCTGTTGAGAATATATCGAGCATAATGAGCCAAATGCATGCAAGTAAAAGAATTGTTCACTCGGTGCTGGAACATTCAATCAGTGGAGCTACTCTCTTCAGCTATTTGTTATGTTTTCATATTTTAACCTGAGTGAATGGCAAGTTGCTGTCCGCTGCCATGCAGTGAACATCTTACAAGTCGAGTCGGCTGGAAGGCCCCAATTAGTCGCCTCCTGCATTTCAAAATTTGAGTTCAGTGAATCTCGGATTTGCTGTCTTTGCAGTTGGGATGGACAGCCCTCCACGTGGTGACCGACGCAGACAGCCACCAATTCAGGCCGCAGGCGGTGCGCTACTTTGTCGAGCGTGGCGCTCGCCTGGACATCAGAACAAATGTAGGGATATCACCAATGTCCTGTGCATGCACACTCTGTGATTCTGTTGGCCGCAGCTCAGAGGTAGATGACACGGACTCGAATACATATCGGTATTTTCTCCATCTAACGTCGATTTTGGTTTCTATTTTATGCCCCCGTGAGGCAACCTCGTTTTTTGAAAGGCTAATTGCAATGGCGGAAAGGGCCGAATATAATTACAGAGCGGCTTAGGTTTATATTGTCGGGAAGGTTCGCTGAGGATGGACAAAAAGATAAATGTGCTTGTGTGCATAGACAGACACGCATCCGAACCTTACAGAACGTCCGGTGCTCCTCACAGTTATGTTTGAATATGATATTGAAGAAGTGGCATATGTTTGCCATTGCCGCCAATCTATTCCCTTCCGGGGCGTAGCTTGTGAGGATCTGCACAGAACATAAATCAATTTGGACACTCAGGGCTACGTCATCGATGGTGCAGGGAATGGATTTGCCCCTTCATTTCGCCGCAAGAAGGGGTTGCTCGGATGCCGTGAGAATACTGGTGGATGCGGGGTGCAGTGTGGACGACCAGAACGCGGTGAGAAATCAGTCCTCAGGACAAAGTGCTTTTGTTTTCATCTGGTGAACCTTCCCGTGCAGTCATCTTTGCCTTCAAGCAAAGAAAGCAAAAGCTTCCCGTGCGTTTTTTTACCACGCAAGCGAGCTCCATTCCTTGCTCGCTGTTTGAAATTCTGCCTGCCTCCCTGCCTGCCTCCCTGCCTGCCTGTGGTTGTTGGAGCACTCGATGGTGGGACTTGCTCTCGAGAGGTGTCGAAAGAAGTGACCCATTCTTCGTGATGACCACCGGCAAAAGCATTACCGAATGAGATGATGACACGTTGGCGGCAGCTGTGTTGGCGTCGCTGCTGCTGAAATGCATCTGCGGTCCGGATGCCATCCACGTCCCCGATTTCCGTTTCGTTGGGCTGTGCACTGCCCTAGCAGGCAAGTAAGGTCAGGCTTAGAGATCACGTAAATCGAATTTATAAGGATGGCCGCTGTCATTGTAGCATCTAAAACCCGAATTGTGCTTGGCGTCTAAATTGGAGTCCCTGCGTGTTACCAAGACCTGCACACCAAGCGAACCAGTCCCCCATATTCTCTATGTCCCATATGCCTCCCATATTCTATGCCTCCCCACCCCCCACCTTCTCCGCTCCTCTCTTAAGCACTAACCTTATGATGTCGATGCCGGGATGACTAAGCAGCATTGTCTGGCAGTATGATTCAACTTCCAAGATGTTTTTAGCGACGATGAGCAACTGAAACTGCAGCGATTTTATTGGGCTGAAGAATGGAATGGCAAAAACGCTGAAAAGTACGCATCCCGTTTATCAGCCCGCCCCCACGGCTTTGAACCCATGGTGGTCAATGGGAGCTGCCCTGGAGTTTGTCCTCTGAGACACGTTTGGGACTTGCCAGAAAATTGAACGCTTGAGGGAGGTTTTAAAGCAAGTCATGAGGTGATCGCCACTAATCAGCAGGGGTTTTGGGCATCTTCTCAGCATACCTCGATTTTGTGGCAACCAGATAACCCTGTACATCACAGTTTTACCCCACACTTCCTCTTAACGTGAAATTGACGCTAAGAGTACGAAATTTGATGCAGTGCCTGCCCTTGCATTATGCAATTACTGAATCAATTTCAGAACAGCGGACGTTTTGATCAGGTCTCAACATGTGACACATAGATTACACAGAACTTCGCAACTGAGCATCACAAGGACGCAGACTGAGGTTGTGCAGAACGGCGATGCCGTTGCTCTTATGTGGGTATGCTGCCGCTGTTTGTTTACACTGGCACTGGTGCCCCACATCTGCGCAAGTTTTAGGCCAAGTCGGCCCTATACCTGGCAGTCCGGGAGAGGCATGTGGATGTCGTGCTTCCAACTCTCGCTGCTGGTCCCGCGCCCATGGAAGCAAATCGGTGGATCTTAAGCACCTTGCGTTGCTGCGAATTTGTGATCCAGCCCTCTCAAGTGCACTGGCGCCGGATCCAAGGGCGAGGTTATGGCCTCCCTATCGCTAATTACAGCTGCGGCTCGAAATGTGTGAATTACAAATCTCCGCCGCGAGCTGATCACCACGCTTCGGGGACAGGCTGTGGTGAGCATTACGTATACATTCGTTTATCCGTTGATAAATTGTATGCGGGCATCAACTGCTGGTGGAACATGCAGATGTAATGGCTCGATTTGGCGATGTGCTGGCCGGCTTGCAACGAGTGTCTGCTCACTAGTCGTGGATCAGCAAAAAGAGAATGGGACTTATTTCTTGTCGTTTGACGTGATCGCTGGCACAATAATAGAGAAGCAATGCGAGTAAATTTCGCAGTAGTGCCGCAGATGCCGCGAGAGCTGCAGATGACAACGATGTCCCGACCAGAATCCACTGATCATAGAATCCTCTGATAATTCAACGTAGCTTCTTCATAATGATATCATTATTGCCGCATTATAACGTGGCTTCTTCATAATGATATCATTATTGCCGCATATTAACATCGATGTTAAATAATACTTCGAAGTACCGGTAGTATTGGTAGTAACGTTCCCGATTCACAAGGATGAATTTGCCTCATGACATCAGGTCCCGTATTCTTCGATTTGAAATGACGCTCCAGCGCATTCTCAACCGTGGAGACTTCCTGCAGTGAATCTTGCCGTATCTAAGTATAGAGAATACGGATTAGCTCTCCCTCTTACCTGTTTCTGACGGAACTGATCTCCATCCTTTGCACCACTTTTTAGGTGGTGGACTATCACCATTGGTATCACATGGCCATAGCAGGAACAACTTCATCAATGCGCCTACAAGCATAAAACAGGGTGGACGTCAGTACCAGCAAAATTTGGTCTAGAATGTGTGTCAAATTTGCCTCGCCCCAACGAAGTAAGCGAGTCGAGGCGAGTTGGTTTGTAGCTCAGTTGTTTCGAAGTTCATGAAAAAGTAAAGCTGCGGCGTGAAATTTGGCATTCATGTCTTCAGGGCGGCTGGACGCCCCTGCATTGGGCGGCGGAGAATGGTGACCTTGACATTCTTCAGAGACTCATTGGCTCTGGTGCCACAATAGACGTCGGAAATCGGGTGCGAATTCCTTTTAGACCCTGTCTTCCACATCATTTTCTTGTTGCTGTCTCTCTTGTTCCACTCTCATGCCTGCTGGTCTCGCCTTTTGCGCATTCGCGCGATGCCCTTGGCTGTTGCAAAGAACTACCTGCCACCGTTCTGTGGTCCACTTCGAATCTGGATGAACCGATGCCGTTGTTATTTCCAACCGGTGCATTCGACCCCTTCTTTGTATCATGTACCGAGCACTCTTTGCTTCGTAGATTCCGCTAATGCACCAGGTCCTGTTGCTTCACGACCATTTGATTTTGAATGGCGAATCTTCAGTGGTGTCAAAATTCGACAACCGTGTTTTCCCCCAGGGCTGTTGATTGATCATCTAACAGAAGACAGCACTCCTCATGACGTGTGCATCGGGCGTTGCCAACAGGCAAACCCATTTCACGCATTTTCGGACGGCGTTGCAATGGTGCCTGAGTTTTGATGGTCGTGAATGGATAAACCAAACTACGTCGAGGGGGTTTGAAATAATCGAGAAATTCGGTGTTTACAATTTCTGCCGTTGAACGGGAAACTGGGTGCGCACGAGGTTCTCCTTGACTTCTGAGCCGCCTTGCTCCCTCTTTTGCATTGACCACCCTAATCTCTGGACCGGCTTGGCTCATTCACGAGAGCACTGTGAGCACTTACCGCCGCATATAGCTAACAAAACCAGGCCCAATCTCAGATATGCGCGATGGCCATCAAGGGCGCAGTCCTGCTATTGCAGAGGTGATGAGATATCCAGGCTTGTTTGGTGTCCATCATTTCCGGATTTGAAAGTAATAACGGCATCGCGAAGGTCATGACTGGCGCAAAAGCCCTAAAAGATTGGAACCAAAAACCCAAAGGCCGAAATGACCTTCATGACCTTCCCGTCCTGAGGACAGTGTACTCCGTGGATGGAAATTGAGCGAAAAGGATACCATCGGCGTTTCTTCTCTCGGGCTGCTCGGAACACCACCTCTTCAAGACATGTGTCTGAAGGCTGCCAAATATTTCTGCAGTCCGTTGCCCCCAGTGGCAGTCTCTGCCAAAGCGATTGCCGCACGACTATGCGATGCGGGCAGCTAAATTGCAGGATATCAAAGTTGGCAACAGCATTTTCAGGCGATTGGGGCAGCAACACAGGTAACATTAATATCGCTGACGTCTTCAGATTGACGCGGGCCCATCTCAGCAGCATGTGAATATTCCATCGAGATGTTGAGCTCCATTTTCTTGCTCCCCTGGTATTGGCTGCATGGGACTCAATCTCAAATAATCAGTACTTTTTCTTGCACCCACTGCGCTGTGAAGCATGCTCCTGGCAAAACTGTGCCACAGAACACGGCTAATTGTGCGATCTAAGGGTTTTGGACACCCGCTGAATTGCATAAATTGGGAATTGTTAATCTCTGTGTTTTAATTTGTGGCAATCATGTAATATCCGCACTTTGTTTGGGGATGCTGCAGGGAGGCCTGACCGCTCTGATGCTCGCGGTTAGAAAGGGTCACATCGGCGTCGTGAACGCGCTTCTCGCCAATGGTGCCGATGCTAGGGCGACGTCAGCGGTGAGCACGTTGGGTGGCGGCCGCGGATGCTCTCAAAATGTGAATATAATAACAGCCGAGACAAGAGAAACAGGATGGGGAATTTGTGCTTCCTCGGCAGCTCCCTGCTGCTGTGCGTTATCTTATATCTATTCCATTCATTCATCTTTGAACAGAAAGTTGAGGAACCTTGTACCTATGTTCTACCCCCTTGTGGGAAAGTGGCACAATTCCTAGCAACATACAGTACTTGCTTGCACCAACTTTTCATGAAGGAACGGCATTGACAATATCAGTGACACTGGATGTCTACCTCTATCTATTTTCCGCGCACCTTGTGCTTTGCAGCACAGGAAATCGTTTGCATAATGAGCTACTGCTTTGCAGCTCGTTCACCTGAAGGGGCGCGTCGGCCAATTCACCTTTTGAAGTGCAGCAGATCGACCATCACAATTGTAATTCGTTCGTTCTCATGCACCAGCCCATGCCCATCCAGGTTCCGCGACCATTGACGAACGTGATCGTCGAGCACGGGTGAATATTCTGCCATTTACGTCATCAAGGAACGCCACGAGCAGCAGTGCCCTGCATTTTGCTGTACTGTACTGCAAAGTACAGAGCTTCGGTGTGCGGACACAAATGCTTCGCACTTAACGTACTGGATTTGAGTTTTGTTGTTCACGCAATTACATAGCTTCGATGCCCGATCGCGTAGTGCCGCATCGCTCAACGTCATGCACCAGTCTCAAGAACAATCAAAAGTTAAGAACCCAAAACCATGTCACCTGCATTGTGTCGGGACCAACGGAGCGTCAGCCGCGTTTTCCGCGTCGGCCTTCATTGATGGTTTCAAGTGAACAGGAGGGGAGGACGGCTCTGATGGATGCGTGCAGCAGAGCGTCGCTCGACCTGGTCGAGGCCCTCATCGCTTCTGGTGCGAATCTGGACGTCCAGGACAAGGTGCGCTTTCCGGCATCGACCGTTGCGAATCACGACCGTGCGCGAGAAAGGGGGCTGCTCCAAACGGCAGAAAGCGCCTTTTGGGAGACGCTAACTACAACGTCTCTTGACGCCAACTGATGCCTTCGAAGTTGCTTTGATGCCATCGCAATCAATTACTGTCATATGGCGCTGCAGTTTTCGTCACAACAATGGCGTCTTACGCTGTCGCCAAACGCGATGGGCAGGGGTATGGAGGGAGGGCACAGGCCGATGCAACATCTGTGTGTTTAAGCCACATTATCCCAACATCAGCCGCCGCTGCTGCCGTTGGATGCGGATACGAATGGGTCCGCGCACGTCTGCCATATGCATTATACAGGCCGGCTTCTTCTCTCTCAGGCCGCGCGGCATCAGCGGAATGATGTTTTGCAGCGGCGACGCAGAAAACAGCGAGTGGCGCTGCCTCCACTGCAGGAGGATGAATACCTGGTTTAGAAAACTAATAATAGAGTTGAGTTTGTGTTTTCTCGCGGGCATATCGCATTAGGTCCCGCCTGGTAATTGGGCACGCAAAGTATGGCATGCAGCGTATTGGAGGATTCAGTGGCCTCAACCGGTCTCATGGCAGTACGTCGTTTAAAGATACAACAGACCAGTGGCAAGAGCACGCCTGTAAACCGCTCATGTACCATATGAGTTGGATTGTCTCGCCCTGGGCGATGGCTTACCGTCCATTCGTCTCTTTGTGTCAAAGATACATGGCCACCAATCCGCATTTTCCCGACTCGCTAGCGAAAATTGGCACAAGCTGCATATGTGATATTGCAAATGCACAACTTGGTCTGATCGTTGCTAGCAGCGCATGGGTGAATCTTTGCGTCCTTGCGTAGAACGCAATTGACCGTGGGGTTAAACTGTGTAGATCACACAAGTGACAACCAGGAGACCAGCTCTTGGTGATGATGAATGGCTCGTTTGCAGGACGGCGACACCGCTCTGAGTCACCTCGCCGCTTCTGAGGGCGTCTCACCATACGTCTGTTCTACGATGGTAGCGAGACTCCTGACCAGAAAGGCAGATCCCAATATTATGAACAAGGTGACAAATTGCGGTATCAGAAATTCATTTGGGGGGTGGCAAATAGAAACCGATACCCAGCAGATTGCTGATTCAGCCTGCGAATTCGCGCAACACTGCATAACTGTTTTACCTGAACAAGTCGTTGGGATTCAAATTTTGGGGCAGGACAGGGAGTTGTGTTGTATCGGTGCGAACAGATCGCAGCACGGCGCGCCGGTCCCTGGGAAGGTGCCCGGTGGTGCAGTCACGCTGTTGGCTACCCTTAGCCTTCGCCGTCGGTGGCTCCGGCACGAACCCATTTCGGGCTTACACAAGGTGTTATTTGTACACTCGCTTTGCCTAATGCGTTTTCCATGGAATCTGGCAGGCCAACCTGTTCGAAAGCCGCCAACTTAGGCGAACATTCCACCGGCCGCCCCAGCTGTTCTGGCTTGGCCATTCCCCAAATCAGACCCCATGACTTCCCATTGCTATTCTGATCCAACGATTAAGGCCGCTTCCCCCCAACTCTCCCTTTCGCAAACACTCTACGCCGTCGCCCTGGACCCGTCCGCCCGCCGGCGTTCTTAGAGTACCTACTCGCTACGCAGCTCCCTCATTCCTTCCTCTACCGCCTCTAACGCAGCTCCCTTCAACTGCCCCACTGGCTATACACACACCCCTCTCATTCGTTCGTGACCATGCCTAGATCGTTTCTCTGTACCATCCCAGCGCATCATCCTCACAGTTGGCAACTATAATGCTGTCATGATGTGTGATGTTTCTCAGCGAGCTGATTCCCGCAAGCTGCAAAACGCTGGCCAAATGTCGTTACAAAGGCTGTCCCCAAACGTGCGCGTCCATCAACAGCGATGCGAACAAGGAGCTCCACATGATGATTCAGTGAGTTGCAATTGCCTCTGCCTGAAACCTTCTCTTGAGCAGGCTTTTTTTTTACCACGTAAAGACAGATTGTGTTTACGTTTTAATGCGTAGAAGCGCGTAAGAATATTGTAAATACAACGTAAAAACAGCCCCGTGTGCATAAGGACAGTATATACAGCCTTCGGGACTCCAGATAATGGCATTCAGACGCACTGGAATGGACACAAAACGAAATTTGTTCCACTCCATCATGGCCCTTGCCGAGTGGGAAGTGGACGCTGTGTTGCGGGTCCTCAAGGGGGCGGAGTACTGATCACTGTACGCAACTTCCATTGTGTAACCTGGGTGTCACAACGAGCCGCAAAAGCGCGAAAACAGCCACAAAATAGCCTCTTTTGCAAATTTATTTCTTTGCGCATAAAGCCTCAAACGTAAGAACGTAAACGTAAATAACAAGCCTGCTCTTGGTGACAGATTCGATGCAAGCACACTGCAGCGCCCCATCAAATTACTGCCGCGCTCCATGGGATTCTCGCAAGATACACCCGTGGCACCGCGTCTCAGAACAAAGTTGGTCTTGCTAGCCCTTCCAGCATGCGAGGGAGACTCGGGCATTACCTTGTTGAGAGAGGTGGTTGTGGGGTAAATGATTCGAATCGATGCTGAACGACATGCCAGTGGACATAATCTTGCTGTTTGTGTGGAGCAGGCCAGGGAGACACCGTTGCACAAGGCCGCCCAGAAAGGCAATCTCGATGTGGCGGAGCTACTCATCAGTGCTGGCGCCCATGTGAACGTTCATGACAATGTAAGCGACGCCACACAACTCCACCGCTCCCTGCTAGATAGTAAAATGGCATTGGCGGTGGTGTAGCGCACATGTGCTCAATGCGGTGGAAGGGGCGATGCAGCAGTGACCCCCCTTCATAGCAACCACTTCGTTGATGCACTATTGGATAACGTCGCTTTAATACCCTTGTGTCGATGTTGGAGTCTTCATATTGCTGCAAAACCTGAATGGTGCCTTACAGATTCTGCTGCTGCGCTGCTGTGCATCTCATGAGCGACGATGTGCCATTTACGTGACGTCAAAGTGTGGCAAAATTTTTGACATATTTCATGCCACGAGGTCGCTATCGCTGAGAAGGACGCGCAAGCGATTCAACATGATTATATCGTGACACAGATACCGTATATGAGCGTGTTGATTTCAGGAATCCATGCGCGAATGTGCCCAAGCGACAGTGACGAGCAATGGCACTGTGCATCTCGATCCACACGTTTGCATGTCAGCATTAATATGCTCCGAAGTGCATCAACGTGCTAAATAGCAGGTGATGCTGAACGGACGTCCTTTGCGCTGAACATGGTTGCAGCAGCGCCGGTGGATTGCTTGTTGCACATCAAGCTATTCTTGCGCCCAAACACTGCGTAAGGAAGCCGGACTGCCTAACGCCCATCATTAACAGTACGGCAGGTGCCCGAAGTCCAAAGCCCATCCAGCGAAGCTTCGGGGCCAATCTTTCTTTTCCGTTGCTCGCTCTTCTGGACCCGTTGCTTGGATGGCAAAGCGCCATGCATTTGTAATTACTTGACTAATATTTGCACTGCACACCACAGTACCAATGATTGTGTCTCTTCTTTTTGACGCAGAGTGGAAATACGGCTTTGCTTGCAGCTGTCCTCAGCGAAAAGGATCACCTGGTAAACACCCTCCTGCGTGCCGGCGAAAATCCTTCGGCGACGAACCATGTAAGCGATGCCCACATTTCGGCGCTTGATCCAAACAAGCGCTGAAGCGTCCTGCACGCTCCATTCGAGTTCATTTGCACAAAACTCTGAAAAAAGTGCTGTGACCGGACACGGGCCCGCCATGGCCTCGTAGCTTCTGGGAAACGCTTCGCCATGTTTGAGGAAAACAAGCTTGTTGACACTGTGTCTCCTGACGCTGTTCTTGGAATGCACAACGCGAAAAGTGAGGGGTGAAGCCAGAGTGACGGTGGCGCTTGAGTCCTGCAAACAGCGATGTACTGTGCGGGAAGCTACGTTGCGCATGCCCCAAGACCATATGGGCTTGATGAATCCCCATTCGTTGTACGGCGGTCGCGCTGCCTTGCGCAATTGTGTGACTTGAACGCGGAGCTGACTTGCTTTAACGGGGGCTCTCTTTCTCCTGCAGGAGGGCAAGAGCGCTCTGCACCAGGCTGCTCATGCCGGAAGCTACAACGCTGTGAAGTCTCTGCTTGACGCTGGCGCCGATGTGGAAGCCAGAAACGCGGTGAGCACGTGTGGTTGTGTGCTTGGGCGAGCGCAAAATGAGCAACTGAAAAGGAGAATGGCTCAAAACACAGGTGGTTGTTTACGAAATTCAATCCCGCCGTGACACGCACATCGTTGACATCACTGCGTAAATTTCACAGATTCAACACGCTTGAAACTTGCGCACAGTTTGAAGGTAAGGGGCACATATGTTTCATTCAACGATGTGGATGCGCGGCTACTGGCAAATCGGCAAACCGTTGTGGTGGGCATTTCCTGTGGGTTTGCGAGCGTTATGCGAACAGGCGATAAGTTAACAGGTGGAAGAGATGGTGCATTACACTGTACAATTTCATACTCACATACTGTGTGTTGTGCATGCTGTACCGTCTCACATGCTCATATGCTGCGAAGAGGAGTCTCGAATGACATTGTGTGGGACAGAGAGGTGGAAATTGTTTGACCTGCATGCACATGTGTCATCTCCTTGTTTGGCGCAGTGTTCATGTATGCCAGAAACTCCTGAAGGTCAGAACTGCACTGTGCACTGTGCAGGATAACACGCGGTACAATTCTGACCTTCCGAGGCACTGCAGCAATACTAATTAATGCAATGCGAGGTCGTATTTCTTGCAAAGACTGTCGCATTTTCGGCGATGTGAGGTCACCACCGCGCTTGCCAAACACTCCTCATGTAGTAGTAAGTACGGTGTCCTCATATAGTAGTAAGTGCGTAATTGTTGTTGATGGAGCATGTGCTGGCTTGCGCTTTGAATGCGTTTTCATCGAAGTGTGCTGCATGTGTGAGGAGATGGCGGTATGCTGTGCTTTTCATCCAAGGGACATAATACATCACGTAACCTAACAATGCTAGCCCTCTCGCCAAAACGAGCATAACAAGGAGCTGTCATGAAAGCCGTGCAATTCCATATCTGCACGTAATGTGAACCTCTTGAGCCGTTGGGAGCGTTGGTATGTCCGCAAGTGCCTCTCAGTTTTGCTCACACGGAATGGCGGACTGTGTGTTCATGACAGCCACATATCCTGTACTCCGTGCTTCGACTCCCTGCTGTGATGGGATGTGGTACTGGCGCTATGGCATTGCTATCCTTCATACTCTGAATACGCAGTGGCTTGTGTGCTTTATTGTCAACACAACTGTCACAACCTGCGCGTGATTATAAACATGCAATTTCTGCCACTGGAAAGTGATGACACGATAATCAAGTGGATGGCAGAGGGAGGGTATGTGGGGGCGGGGGTAGGGGGCTATCGCGTTGCACAGCAGAACTCTCGACTGGAGCGAATACAGAGCTTTGTAGTTTACGACTCTTGAGAGGCTGCTGTTTGGGCGTTCATTTTGAGTTCATTCAAAATATGCGTACTCCAATTCAAGGCCGCAACAATTCTGTGCGGAATGATGCAGAAAGGATGGACCCCATTGATGGCTGCCGTGGTCAGCCAGCGTCCGGATTTTGTGGATATTCTCATCCAATACGGTGCCAATGCGAAGGCTCGACGACCGGTGAGCAATTCTTGGCCTGGAGCGAGCTCCCAGTTCTACATACCCGTTGTCCCCGTTGCCAGCCCCACTGGTTTGTATGTATCAAATATCTCCTCTTGTCAGAAGCGGCCTGGATACGAAACGGGCTGATCAAATATTATATGTGTTTCGTCCCAATGTGCCGTAGTATAAAGGCTGCGAAAGGTCTGCTGTTCCTTTCTGTTGGATCTGCAGAACAATGCAAACACAAGTGAACGCTAGTGCACCGAAGGCTGTGCGCCAGGAGTTACAGGATCTGCATGGCGCATTTAGTTGCTAACCAACGACTTTGACAATTTGTTGGGTGCAGCCAATGGCACAACATAATACGCTCACAACTTGCGATTCCAGCCGGTGATTATATGCCCACATTTTCTTGCGAGCCAATAACCACCTGGAAAGTTCAGAGCGCCCCATGGCTGCTTCTGCAAAAGGCTTTACGCACATCGATCCCGTACAGTTGTGTCCCTGCGCTTTCACGGTCACCCTCATTACTTGCGGTCTATCAATTCTGCCATTACGCATATGCCCAATTGTGGCATATGTGCCGTTGGCGTCAATTTTCCCTATTACGTGTTATTGTCGCACGCAATAATTCGAACTCGTTTGGGATGAGATGAGCCGAAGCTTCTGGTGAGGGTGCAGTCACCGTTCTCGGTCACCATGCATGTCTTGTGGGAAACAAAGTCGAACTGTTGTTTGTTTGGGGTTGTGGCAATGCTTGTTGTGCAGTATTTCTCAAGGAGGGGATGTGAATCGACTCAGGACGGGAAGAGTGTCCTCATGGCTGCCTGCTGCTGCCGACAGCATGAAGACAATTCGTTCAGAATTGCCAGTTCCCTGTTGCGCGCTGGCGCGGAGGCAAATCTACAGGACCAGGTATGTAATGTAGCTTGCAGTGATCTTTGATGTTTTATTCGATTTGTATATTTGTTTATTTACATGTGTTGTTCACTTCAGCATCTAGGATATCGCTTGCTGAGTCCAGATGAAACTCAGGGTGCACTTGTTCTAGCATGTGTTTTTCGGCGACGTGACACGAAATACGTGTACTTCATCCGACACCCTGCGTTTCCGGGCGTCAAGGTCATGGAGTTCATTGCGGGTTTTAGAATATTTGCGTTTTAACCTTTTCGCAACCTCACACCCTTCATGACCTTCACGAGCCTCCATGGCCCCACCGTGACCTGCATAGCCTTCATGCACAGCAATGATAGGTACCGGACAGTCCTCGCTTCACCCATGTTGAAATCCGCGGGGATGAAACGGCGCAGTGGAAATTTAATGCAGGTGGTTTCGACGTGCATGGCTTGAAATCAGTGTTAACACTGATTTCCTTAACGTCAAGGAATTTCATAGCCTGCCTCTAGGAAATTGCCGTGCTGGCAGGGTGGCTGCCTGGATACTCCCCTGTGTGCAGTCTGGGGCGCTTACACATGCATCGGCTTGCGTTTCTCATCCTCGCAGGCTACTCAACTAATTTGAGTCTGAATAAGGGGGCCATAATGGACCTGACGCAGGCGTCTGAATACGGCAGAATCCATACCTCGAAGCAGCATCCAAATTTGCGGGATACCCCTGAGCGGCATCTTTTAACGGTTCCAGGGCGTTCGGGTCTGGCGATTCAAACGTACCACCTGACTTTGAGTGGCGATAGTGTCGTTCGGGATGTGCAGGATGCTCAGATTGATTGTTGCGCCAGCCTGCACGTGAACACCATTTCCCCCCTGACCGGACGCTCACAACTGGCCGTTTCTGTGGCTTGCTCCAGGACGGAGATACTGCACTTCACGAAGCAGCGTTTTGGGGTGCAAAAGGAATCGTGGGGGCAATCCTGCAACACGGGGCTCATGCCGTTGTCAGAAACAAGGTGGCAGATCATCCTGGAGCGGATGCGTCATACTCTGCAGCAAGTTCGACTCGCAGCCTGAAATCTTGCACCAGTTCCTGGCTGCCAATGTGACATTAAGCGTACCAGAAGCGACACAGTGTTAACTTGAGTGCGCACGCTCTTCCCTTTGCATTTTAAAAGGTAGCAAAGACGCAATGGGGGAGGAGATCGTGGCGCATGGAATATCTGATTGAGTGACCGCATTCCTAAATGAAACATGCCGTGGCCAAAAGGCACGGCACGTGATTCTGCTCATCTGGGCGAACTCGGACATTGCCGAGCCATTGGCGCTCTACATGGACTGCAGACGCGGAGAATGCAAAGCGAACGGCCAGGGGGGGAGGGGTGTTCACGCTCCAACGTTGGGAAGCGATCGAGTTTTGCAAGCTGTTGATGATAGTGTGTTTGCCATGGCGCAGGAAGGCAACACTGCTCTTCACGTAGCGGTGCACCGCAATCACCGCGAGGCCGCCAATGTGCTGCTTCGGTGGGGAGCCGACAAATACATTAGGAACAATGTGAGTGCGCTGCGCTTGGGGCTTCCGCTGAGAACAGTCTTGTGCTGTGGGATTTGGCGAACGCGCCAGGATGTGTGCAGTGACCGCGCAACATCGGTCGTGAAAAAAATGCGAAGGGCAAACACAAATTATGTGGCTGCAGTAAGTATAGACAAAACTGTGACTTCGGTAAAATGGGCGAAGTAGATGAACGTAAAGCAAAATGTGCAGAATACAAATATCGTGTTGACAAGACGTGAATGGAGTGAAGTGGGTTTTGTAGATTAGATGAAGGCTAAGCGGCGGCAGCGCGCGTCTCCATGCCGTTCTCATGTCGCACTCGTGAGAATTGTCTAAAGAACCATTTTGATCTCACAGTGGCTCTCACTTCAGTGCGTTGCGCAGCATTGAAGCGCAAACATAGTCAGGTAATCATTTGTTTCTTGATGTGTTTTGGCATTTCATTACTTGAAGATGACGATATAACTCAGAAATTTGGGAAAACATTTTGTGTACGCACGGGCAAAAACCTTGGGAAGTGGAGCACACTTTTGTGTCCAGTGCAAACACAGCGACATTCAGCCTCAAGATTTCAACAACCCTCCCTGAAGCTGAAGCCAGCCAATTACGCGGCAATACTTGGCAATATCATTCCTAATAACAGATTTAATTCTGTGAAGCTTGTAATATTGCTTGGCGCTTTGTATGACTTTGGGCGCACCGTATCTTCAACAAGCATGGCAAATCATTGGCCTCAAGAAAACCGCAATTTCTATGGCCTGTAAGATGATTCGAGATGACGCCCGTTATTCTGATAAGAAAGCGCGTCCAATGCATCCGTGTAGAAATGAAGGGAGTGGAGATTGCCTCCTGTGACAGGCAACGCTGCGTTGTCATGACACTATCAGAAAACACCATGTTTGCGATGCCAACTGCGATGCCATTTTGACACAAAGTGGCTCCATCACGGTCCTTGCGATGGCACAAAAGCGGGTATGATGCCATCAATTAGTGTCAAATGGCATCGCAGTTTGCACCGCAAGAATATCGGTTTCCACTGGTGTGAATTGGTCAAATATCTTCACCGTGGTTCATGCTGCAAAACGTTGCGCAGCCTGAATATAGGCCTGCATACTGTGCGTGTTCTTGCAATGTATGGCACATCCAAAGAACCGGAGCTGCAGGGATCATGAGATCCAGCCGTTCTTCATGTTGGCATGGCCGTCCAATTGTCCCTGTATCCCCAAACTTCGGCATAGCGTCGCTCTGAACTTTCCACATTGCATGTGTCCGTTCTGTTGAGCAGGCGGGACAGACGCCAATCGAACTAGCGAGTGATGAGGGTAACTTGGCATTCGCGCGGGCGCTGACCTCCGAGTGAGTTCATGCGGCAAAATCAGCGGTGATCCAAAACGCCATGACCAGGGAACTTGTCAGAGATGCACTAGAAAACGCGGGTTTGGGAATGGATTGCGTTGGCTAGTTTTGATTTTTGTTAGGTCCCTATTTGGATGGGCCTTCCAAAATTGGAATCTGAAGGCGTGGAAAAGATGCAGCAGCGTTGCGAACGACGGTGTGTATTGCGGGACACGATTTTTATGGCATGCTTTCGACTGGATGCGCGTAAGACTTGGGATACGGATACCCTCTGTCGTCTTGCAGAGCGACCGTCAAGCCTGGTTTGCAGTGGCTACCCAACTCGGGCCCTATATGCATTCGCGCTGTTGTAGGCATACACAAGGGGCTTGTTTCCAACTTCTCCATCATGCTACACCTGCTAAATGGCCTTAATGACCGTTCCACCTGAATTGGGCGCGCTGGGGTGGGCCATGTACCGTACTGGTGTCCTGGTGTGCGCTACCCGTTCGAGCTGCACGTGTAAATCTCGCTTAACCACAAAATGGCCAGCATTCACAAGGTCCTATTGCACTTGGGGTGATCGACTGGATTCAACCAGATCACGGCGGATGGTCCCACTGCATGGGATGGCTCCAATGGGCCACCATGGCAGTAGTACAAAAGCGGATTAGTAAATGCGTTCTAAGAATTCCGAAATTTCGTTCACGGGTATGCATGCGGAACGCATCAAACCCCAATTACAGCACATATGCAGCTGCGTTGGGTAATTAACCGAATTAGCTATGTCAACGGTGCAGTGCAACGGGACCCATTGGCACGCCTGCCATGCCGTATAATGTGTAATTTGCATTTGGCACATGTGTGCAAGCTCGAGCATGACTCAGTAGACGACGCTCACTCAAATGGCCACTCAGCATCGACTCATCACCGGCATGACTTGATAATTGACGGAAGACTGCTTTGTTTATTGGATCAACAGACCGCGATCTTAAGGGTAACGGCGGCATTGATTCGGTTGAATGCAAATGAAAATACCATGGTATCCAAAAGGCCGCAATGACCAACAGCTGGTATTGCAACCTTGCAAGATTCCGTTGCTGCCAATCTCACGGAATTTACACCACAATTCCCAAACCTGCAGACAGACTATTGGACTGAGATCCAAAACAAATACAGGTATTACAAATGGCAGTCCTGTAGACGCGATGGCGTAGGGCGTCGCTGGAATCTGACCAGGCGCGATCGCTGACCAAATTGTAGGGGTGTCGTGGTTTGACAGTTGGTGATTAACGTTGGAAACTTTTGGCGATGGAAAAATGAAAGCAACTGAGCCATTATTTTGGAAACTAGGCCAAAATATCTAAAATAATAATATCCAAAATAAGTAGAGTCACTTTGTGAACATTGGTGTCGATCCAGCCTTTTTTTCTGTTTCTGTTCTGCACCGTCGCTGGCGCCGCTTTCCGGTGACGCCTGTGGAGTCTGCCACAATGGCCTCAACGCTCGCCACCCCCCACCAAGCATGCGCCACATTGGTCGTTGATCGGAGAGATCGCTTGCCCGTGTCCTGCCTCCGCCCGGCGACCTGATGGGCTAGATGTTGTCCGATGGGCTGGATGTGGCCCCAGGGCGCGAAGATCCAGAACCGCTGAGGACAGGATCATCATCATCAAAATCCATGGACTACATTTGTCACAAAATGACAAAACACAGCCCGTGCACCTGGTAGGTGATGATCCCATGTCCCATTGTCCCATGAAATGCAGTGACCTGGCATGAGTAACCCCCGAGGACATGATGGGTCAATGAGGTGTTCCTGCGAAAGGTACCAGCGCGCGTGAGAGACCGTGGCGATGCGTGGTTAACCTCAACGTTGAGGTGCCGTCCCACCACGCCAATATGCAATGGTGATGGCCATGCTGTGGCGCCCAAGGCAAGATCGGGGTGGCGAGAATGGCCAGGGCACAATGCATTGCGCCCCGGCCATTCCCCGTCTCCCATTCTTGCCTTGCCTTGGGGTCCACCGCAAGGCCATCACCATATCAAGGACGGAACTGGCACGTGGAACAGATAGAACAGGAACGCGGCGACGGGAGTGGGCATCACGGCGCCGCCCATTCTTCGGAGAAAGGTGCCCCGTTGCCGGGGGCCCTCGGCAAGGCTTAACCGCGCGTTGAAGCAGTTGAAGCTGTCCTCGAGGCCTGGGCAGCTAGATAGCTCCCTGTTGCGCCTGGCCCCGCCGTGCTGGCGTCCATCGCACCACAAAAGGTGAGTGCTGAAACGTGTTTGGTCGGGAAGCAGCCGTGGTGATCGAACAAGCGGTGGGGCTCACCAGGGGCAGCTGCCCCAAGATGATCCAGGGGACGATTTCGTTGCTTGCGTTGTTCCTGACGGGCAGGCGGGTTGGCAGGCGGCAAGCTGGGGGCCGGGGGGGCGGCATGGGTGCCTGGACAGCGTTGTGAAGCTCCCCCGTGGACGGTATGCGGTGTCCTCCCACCACGTGCGACTGAAAATTGCCGTGTAGGCCGCCACTCCGCAGCACTGCCGATACGGCGTGGCGGCGTACATCGGCAACTATCAGCCTCGGTTGGTGGGACGGCCCCACACGCCTTCCCCAGAGGAGCTTCACAGCGCGGCCGCAACGTAGCGGCACACTCACGGCCCGACCGTTGCCGGTCCTGTCGACGCTCTGAAAGGAACCGACAAGGGCTGTGCTGTGGACCTGTTAGCCGTTGCAGGGCCACGGCACAGACTTTGTCGTCCCCTCTCAGGGCGTGTACAGGACGGCGACGGTCGGCCGTGAGGGCGCAGGATCGCCCTGCAGCTGCAATTTTAAGACCCTGGAAAGGTGGAAAAGATGAGCCTGCTGCATAAGCCCCCGGCTCAAGGATCGTGCCTCGCTCAGGCGAAATCGGCAGGCGGAAATAGACAACGTTTGGGGCCCCCAAAACCCCAGTCCTGCCCGGCGATCACGAAAGGGAGTGCTCTGCGCAGCTCCCGGCAAAGGTGGCAGAGCGTCACGGCAAGTGGCCCACCTCTTCCCATCGGCATGGCGTCCACATCCTCCCTCCGTGAAATAAGGGCAAACTGCTGGTGCCAGCGGAACGCTCCATGGCTCGCGGGGCGTGTTCAGTCGCCCCGCGGGGCCGGACGTCGTTCGGTGATACCGCCTGTCCGAGGCGTCGCCGAGGCAGATCGAGAGAGGGGCGGAACGAACGGAGGATCGCGGCTTTCGCACCCACCTTCGCCTCATCGCCCTCCGCCCGCTACTTTCGATGGACTCCGGCGGAACTCCATCGACCAGTCCAATCCGATCGTTCCGCCAACCCGCACCTGTCCCAATTCGTACAGTTCTGACGACAATGGTCGCGACCCAATACGCGATCCTGAGATCCCCCAGCCGATGCGCACGGACTCTCACTGTTACCAAAGTCGTCCCTTGAGAGTAGCTGCGGCGGGCGAGCCTGGCGGACGCGCTCCGGTGCTCCTGCATTCGGGAACTTTCTTTCTAAGGGGCCGTTTGCTTACCGCGCCCCAAACGGTGGCGCGCATAAGCGGACGGGCGCGCTTTTCTGTCGACACATTTCGAAATCCAAATCCGGATTAGGTCTAATGTACGGAATCAATGAGCCCCATGAGTCAAGCCTTACCCGCATCAGTTGTCTAGAATTGGCGGACGAGTGTGAGCGCGTGCTTTCCGTTTGGCTGATTTCAACTGTTACATACACCCTATTCACGCCGTCGACGGTTTTGATTGAGGGTGGCAAATGAACACACCTACCGGGAAAGAAAGGTGATTCCACCGAAATGCACTGTCCCCAAATTGGTTACCTTGTCACTCAGCCCACAATTTCCATTCTGCTACCGAGGAATATGCCGATCAGTTTTAAAACCTTGCACCATGAATCCGCCAAATTGCTATTGTTGTCGATTTAACTGCCAACAGTTGGTGCGCACGCCTTTGAATGTGGTGCAACATACTCGAATAAGAAAATAGATGGTGACTTGCTGTATGCTGCCCTATGCGACATGAGCAGCACACTGCTATGGCAGGTGATGCACAGGTTATGAACTCAACTAATTGATGTTCAATGCATTCTGCAATGAGCATTTTAATGGGTGAACGGTGGAAACATACTCAAATAAGCAATGGGCGCGCTGGTTGTTTCTTACTTTAATGCCAGTCCAAACATCCCCCGATAGGTGCAAAGGCACCGAATTGTTGTATTTTGATAAGTCAGAATGATGCTGGTTGCACACTGACAGTGGGCTGCCCCAGATACGCATACTCGTCCCAAAGGGCTCTTCATGTCACTGCCCAGAAATTGACTTGTCAAAGCATGCATTGATGTGCTCAATGGTTGCTAACCTGCTTAAAGAGTGTTGCGCTCGTGGTGAATTCTCCTTTTGCTTCTTTACTGCGGAAGTACGTACAACTGAGATCGGGGTTGGGCATTAGCTAGGGGCTGCTGTCTTCTACATGTGTTTGTCTTTGGTCCCCTTGGTTTTCGGGAATACCAAAGGGAATGTCCCTATCTTTAGACAGATATTCAGAGAAGGTCAAATTTGTCTGCTGGGGCTGCGAGTTTGGCCGTTGCTCGCCTTCTGTTCAATTACCATTGGCTAAGACTTGTGCATGATTGTCCAATGGCAGAAGGCAAGCTTGCATACCAAAGTGGGAAGTTGACCAGCACAAGCGTTGCAGTCACAATGCAGTAGCGACTCGTTGCATGATGGCGACGCGCCGCCCACCAACAGCACATGATCGCTGCCTTGGGATGCAGGGAGTATGATGCAAGCACGACGTCGGCTTAATGGTCCAGCATGTGAAGTACTACTTCCATCATGAAGTCAAGATGAGCACCACGCAGGCACTGTGCACCATTCGAGAGGTCTCCAATGTCCTTGGCCAAATTCGCCCTTGCCTCTGCGCTATTTTTGATCGATCCCCAACCCCACGATGAGCTTGATGGTTGGCATTTCCCAGTACAGTCAATGACACATATACACAATCAAAGCGGGCTGCTTGGCCTAGCGCTCAATATCGAATAGTAATGCGGTGCATCAGAGTGTTTGCATGGTACCGGGGACATCGCTAGGCTATTGGTTGTATGTGCGTAACTTTGGGAGCCGAGTTCGGCCCAACATAATATCATGGCGTGTGCATATAGAAAGAAAAATCAGACACAGATAGGGAAAAATAGTTGTCCATGTACCCTATCAATAGCAATATCTCATTCACGCTACTTCGCACACACGCCCCGACGCCTTTTCAACATTAATCTCAAGGCGCCCGGAGGGTTCTTTTAATCCCTTCCAGCCACAGAACACCGCCACAGAACACCGAACAGCAGTCCATGCAACACCCCACCGCCTTCCGCCCCTTAAAACTGGCAGCGACCGCTGGCAAAGGTCCCTAAATCCAAACCTTGACCGGGCCGTCATCCCTGGGCTCCACAACCGCAACCCCCCAACCCTGTCCCAGGGCACCACCCCGGGCACCGAGCAGGGCAAACCGGGCGCTCGCGAGCGAGGCGATCGACTCGGTCTGGGATCTATTCCGCGGACGGCAGCAATGGCCACCCATCTGTGCCGCCCGCTGGTGGGCGAGGCGCCCGCAGCCCACACCCGACCCCACGGGCCCTTCCAGCCATGCCTCGGAATCCCCTTCCTCCATCCCCGCTGGCATCGCGCCATGTGGCGCCACGGGACGTGCAGGGTCCCCGTGCGCCCCCGCAGCGAGGCGGCGTCGCGCGGGCCTCCCCAACCAGTCGATGCGGACGGCCGCGCGGACGCGGCGGGGGTCCTGCACGCGGCGGAGTCGCTCTGCGTGGCCACCGCGCTGGCCATGAACCTCCTGGCGGCCATGCTGCAGCACCGGAGGATGAAATCGATTCGGGAGGGCGATTCGGGAGAGCTGTCCGGCGCCGCGCAGAGATCGCAGCCCTGGCGAGTGACAGCCGTTTCGGACGGGCAAGGATGGGCATGGCCGGCCTGGGAGAGGGTCATGGTGTGGCAGTCCTTCCCATTGATCCTGGCGATCTTGTTTGGGACCGCCCTGCGGCGCCTGAGAGGCGGGCGGGGGGGTGATGAGGGGCAAGAGGCGATGCGGGCCAGCCTGGGCGCCAGGCTGGGGTCCCGCCTGGACGCGCTGGAGCGATCGGCGCCCGAGACGTCCACCGCGATCCGGCGGCTGTCGGACGAGGTGGCACGGCTGAGGGTGAAGGTGCGGCTGGTGAGCAGAGACCTGAAGCCGGTTGTTCAATCCATGGCGTCCAAGGGGGCTGATGGCGCGCAGATGGCGGGGCAGCTGGGGGCGCAGCTGGAGGCCGCGGAGGGGCGGGTGGGCGATCTGGAGGGGGTAGTGGTGGGGATGCAGGAGCTGGGGATCAAACAGTTCAGGGTGCTGGTGCAGGCGATCAGGGGCGTGGAGGCGCAGTGCGCGGAGCTGCGGGAGGGGCTGAGGGACGGGGGGGCGATCCCCGAGGGTGGACCCACCCTGGGGGATGAGTGGGGCCTTTCTGGGAAACTGGGGCAGCAAGGGTGGCTGAAGGAAGTGGAATCGGCGGATGGGGAGGCTGGGCCTGTGAGGGAGGCGAAGGGGTACAAGGAGCGTGGGACAACTGGTGGAATCATTCCAGATGATGGTCCAAGCCCCCTGGGAGGGCCTGAGCGTCCAAAAAGCGCGGAACATGGGAACTATGGGGACCACCAAGTTGCACCAGCTGGAGAAATTGAGGGAAACAAGCATGGTGAGACAGGTGAAGAAAGCCTGGCGGGGAATGTCACTGCAGGCTCAGGTGGATTCTCTATAGCTGGTGGCCAAGATGATGAAGACCTTGTCATCGCTGACAGTGTGGTTGCAGGGGTGGTCCAGGCAGCTCAGACACTGGTACAGTGTCTCAATTTGAGCGGTCCAGAATTGCTGAATGGTGTGCGAGACGCGCTTGAGATGGGGAAGTTTTCTACTGAAACCCAGATGGATTCAGAGACTGCAGAAGCAGGCTCTTCGGAAGATGAGGTTTTGTTGAGGGCTACGGAGGCTGTTCAAAGGGCCAAGTTGCTTGTGGAGTCTGTAGTCGTGGCACCCTCAGGTGTTCCAATGGCTGAGACAGAGTTGCAGGGATCAGAGGACGCTGTGCTTGTCTCAAGTGACAGACCAGCCTGTCCTGCCTTCTAGGGTTGGGCAGGTTGTGTTTGGTGGCCGCACAAATGTCCTGGGAGCACCGCGTACAGTTTATCATTCTGATGGACCGTCTGATTTGGGCGGTGGCAATGGAACAGCTGAGCCAACCTCCAGCAACGGGATTGCTCCTACCAAGGATGGTGACAGTATTCTTGATCGAGCTGGTGGAACTGTGCCACAGGACGTTTTTGACAATGTTGAAGCTGACAATCTGACTTCGCTGAAGGAACAGAATACTGTCCAAGTCAGGGGCATCACTGGAATCGGTCATCTGGGTGGAGGTGTTTCTCACAGCCTTCTCAACAAAGGGGATTCAGAAGAGAGAGCACCTGGCAGTGCATTAGCTGATGCTGGGCCTGCACATAGCCAACCCAAAGAAACAGAAACTGCTGGCAGTGGGGCACATACTGTGGTGCACAGAAATCCGGAACCTGCTCTGTCAACTGGTGAAGGAAGTTGCAGGAGCATCGAGGAAGTTGCCAGTGCATCTGAGCAGACATTTGAGCTTGCATCTTCATCAGCAGCGCTGTCAGAGCTTGAAAGCATTGCAAATGATATCTCCACTTCTGGAGCTGATCTGGAGGAATCTGTGCTGGCCAGTTCCCTTGATTTGGCTGTTGCATCCGGAACCTCTGAAAAACAAGGACAGGACAGAGACCAGCATGCAAGTCCCGTTCCTGGTGCAGAGGACAGCCAAGGGATTGGGCCTGGGAGCATAGCATCTCATGCAATATCTGTGTGCAGTGATGACGATCTGCTGGCAGAGGATGACGTGGTGCCTTCTTCTGAATTCTTTCCATGGGCTGCTTCGCCTTGGGGGGCCATTGAGCGTGGCTGTGTCCAGGTGGTATCTCATCTGAAGGCTGCATCAAGGGATGTGTGGCGCCATGAGGAGCTCAAAACTCCAGTCTTCCCGCAGAATTGGGATGGTTTTGTGAGGCCCAAGACACAGGTTGCTGGGGGCATGAGTTCGACATTCTCTTCCAGGAGCGTCGATTTAGGGTTCGATGTTAGTGCACAAGACAGCAGGGAAGCATCTGCAGGAGGCAGCAAAGCGCCAAGAGAATGAACCTTTGTACACTTGGAAATCGGTGGAAACTTCCGATATTAGCTGGTCTGTAAAGGCACAAAGAGCAAGTTCGCCTTGCTAACTGGGAGCTATACAAGACGGCTGTGAGCACAACAGCAGTTTCTTGCACTCCTACTCATGTGTGGAGGGTCAATCACATCGCATCGCACGGGATCGTTTCAGTGGTACGCGATTTGGACACAATGAACTTGCACTTTTTTTGTTTGGCCATCACCTGTGCAGTCCCAGGGAAGGGGAGGCCCGGTTGAAACTGCATGGCTCCTGGGGCGCACTGTCCCACTTGTACGTTTGACTGGGTACCAGGCTTGGCCCACCAAAGCAGGTCCACAGACTGCTGCCGCACTGCCCATGCTACAGGTGTTGTGCCTGGCCCACAGGGCCAATGGCCATGCCTTCACATCTCACTGGAGCAGCCATTTTACTTGTGCACAACCACTGTGACAACCCTCGAGAGCTCTTCCCCCTGGCACACTGTTCACCCCTCCTTCCAAAGCACCTTGTCTGCGCCTCGCTCTTGCTCCCACCCTCCACCCCAACCCCCACCTCCCCGCCCACCTCACCCCAACCTTCCCGCCCTTCCTCTGCCTCCAGGGCAACCCGGTGGCCAGGGAACCTGCCGGCAGGCGTTCCTTGACCGCTCCACGCCGGTGTGCAACTCACCACTTGTGGCTGGTCGTCTGGGATCCCCATCCGACACCAAAAGTCCACTACAACGCACCCAAGCCCTGCTCAATCAAGCTGCCAACGCAGCCCTTTCCCCACGGCCTGCAACGCCCAGGCGGTCCGCCATGTCAGGACCAACACCGCACGCCCAATCCCACCCCCGTCCCAGCCCCACTGCGGGACGGCACACCCACACTGCCCCCCTAACCCCACAATACAGATTCTTGCATACACTTACTCGTTGGGGTGGCCTTCTTATGGCCTGTTTCTCTTTCTCCTTGTTAATCCAATCCATACAACACAGCGTCTCGCATACGCTTGCCTGGGGGTGGGGATGCCCTTTTTGTGGCCTGCTTCTCCTGCTCAACGCCCACCCACACAACGCAGCTCCGCTTCCTGGCTGCCGCTGCCCGCGGCTCACCAATCCCCCTCTTGGATCATTGATCCTTCTTCTCCTCCGTCGGCCTGGCCGGCGGCTCCGCCTGGCCGGAGGGCGCGCCGGCGGCCACCTCGCCCTCCACCGCCGGCGGTGCCTCCGCCTCCTCCTTCTTCAGGTCGAAGTGGTCCTTCACCTTGATGTAGCAGAACAGCATCCCCAGCAGGCCGCCGTTGACGAACAGCCCCGCGAACAGCGGGTTCACCGACACCATTTTCTTGTACATCGCCGCCGCGCGCGTCTTGGACAGCGCGCTGCCCCCGCTCTCGTCCATCAGGACGGACATGCCGGCCAGCCCCAGCCCGAAGAGGATGAGGAAGAAGACGAAGCCCACGCGCGCCAGGACGAGCTGCGTGGCGGTGAGCACGACGCGCGGGGAGCGGCCCGAGGGGACGGCCATCGTGCGGCGCTGCTGGCGGGGCCCTTGCTGGGACAGTGCAGACGCCCAACAAGCGCCCCGCGCTTGGGCCTTCGTACACTGGGCCGTTCGCAAGTGCCTAAGGGAATGAAATCTATTTTAACGTTCTGACGATGTTTTGGTTGGAAACGGGCGAGAGCTTGGGTGGGCTGTGGTAAGCCGGTGCACGGATCGCAGCACGGCGCGCCGGCCCCTAGGAGGGTGCCCGGTGGCGCAGTCACACAGTTAGTTACCCTTCGCCTTTTCCGTCGACGGTATGAACCCACTGCACTTACACGAAGCGTTGATTTTGTACATACAGATCGTGCGTTTTCCATGGAATCTGGCAGGCCAATCTGCTCGAAGGCTGCCACCCAAAAAAAACATTCCACCGGCCGCCCCAAACATTCTGGCTTGGCCATTCACCGAATCAAGCCCCATGACTTCCTATTCCTATTCTGATCCCACAACTAAGACTGTTGCCTCTCAACTCCCCCTTTGCAAATGTCTATGCCAGCACCCTGAACCCGTACACCCGTTGGCATCCCTAGGGTCCCTACCCGCCTACCTATCCCCTCACACCTTCTACAGCCTCTACCGCAGTTCCTTCCAGCCGCCCCACTAACTACACCCCCCCCTCTCATTCGTTCGTGTCTATGCCTTGATTGTTTCTTTGCACCAACCCAACGCTTCACCCCCACAACTTGTTTCCCGGCAAATCCAATTGTGGCATGGCTGTTTTGCTGAAACCGTGGCCTCTGTATAAATATGTGTACCCTCAACACGGAAATATACTATCGTGTGGATTACTACTTTAACAAGAAAGATTGTTGTGTTTATTAGTTAACATGCATTGCGGAGAACAAATACACATCCACTTTTGACTCACGAATTCCCATTGATTGCCTATTGTAGTGACTGGATACTGTACTATGCTTTGACGGGTAATTAGATATCTTAGATGAGTTCAAAAGCGGCATATCATCGTCAGCAATCATCGAGCATGTCTTCCAAAATTGGCATGGCCACGATACAGCTCCATATAGATGCATCAGCGGGCTCAGCATCTCATCATAATGTTAATTAACGGTTCGAAATTGGCAAGGGTCATCCTTAAGGCTACGGCATCTCGTCTCCACTCATCAAAGCATTGGGTCCGGCACATCCTCGGTAGTCATCATGGTAATAGCACGGTCATCTTCAGGGCCACAACTTCTCATTAAGGGCTTCATATTCAGATCATCTCCACGCCATCTCTTGAATACTCACGTAGTTGTGATATCGAATTCGCACCAGTACTATTAACCATCAGACCATAGCGAGGCTTGCAATGACAAGTTGCACGATTCCGGAGGGGTACCTAGAAAATCGCCCCCACACACATGGCTAATTCGTGAAAACATGGGAAATTTCCGAAGATTTGGCTCATTCTTCTATTGCTGATGGGATTGGGGCACCTCCTCTGTGTCTTCGCTGTGCGCTTCAAAGGAAGGGAATCCATTTAGCTCCGTACCAAATAATACTGGATCTGATACCAAACTGCCGCCGTACCAATGAAATTGAAACTAGCACCGATGCATATTGAATCTGGTACCAAACTGTTGAACGGTGCGCACCAAAAAGTGTTCAATCCAATACCAATTAGCCATCAAATCGCCGCCATAAGGGCTCATAAACCCTAAACCAACCAAGCACAAGCCCAGTGCTTGTCGCAGGGCTGGTCGCAGGCTGCCATTCAATGACTAATGGGTATTGGGTTCAACACGTTTTGGCGCGCCGCTCAATATTCTTGGTACCGGCGCGAGTTGGGTACCAGATTGAGTATGTATTGGTGTTATTTTCAATTCTTTTGGCACGCTGGCAGTTCGTACCAAATAATATTGAGTCTGGTACCAGAGTTAAATATATGCGCAAAGGAACTGTACTGCAGGGTACGCAATATTCTGGTTGTGTAATCAGGTTGTGTACATATTTGGGTTTTGTAGTATTCAGTGTACCACGTAGCACTCCCTGTCGGTGCAGGAACTGTGCTTGTTCATAGAACGCTATATTCCGGCTGGGGGGACCGGCCATGGCTTCAACGCGTTGATGGGAACGGGCTTGTAAGCTCGGCCTCACTGCAGGAGATTCATTCAACGCAGCTGCCTGTGACTCACTCCACTGCCACTCACTGGCGCACGATTGATGAAGCCCTTGAGAAGGAATGGGTGAAGCATGGCAAGGAGAAGGCAACGATTGGCAAATCGATGTGGAATAGACGACGGGGGGTGTAAGCGAGGAGTATAAATCAATGGCCTCGTAGTGGCGATAGCGTTTGGGGATGCTGATACAGCGAATGCGATTTGTGTCCTGGACATGCGCTGGCCGACGGTGTTGTACATGACATGGTTGGGAGCGCCACGGTCGTT